GAGAGATTTTTTTCAGTCTTTTCAATAGACTTGCCCTAACTTGCACAGTTGTTAAATAACTTCATTAATTTATTTTTTTCTGTTATCTGAAGGTTAATTGCCTTTACATACATTTGTGTGTCTGATTAACACCTTTCTCTTATGAAAATAACAAATGTAAATTTTACAGAACTATCCTGAAAGCAATTATCTGTAGGAAAAGCAATGTTAAAATCCTGCTTAGTACATCTGTGGGATTATGCACACTCAATACCTGATTTTGAAAGGATTTAAGTTCTCATTTATTTTGTTATTCTGAAAAAGGATTTCAGATTGAAGTGGTGTACAGTGAGTGAAAGACGCATCTGCAGAGAACAGTAATTCATGAGATAGCATATTTAGTGCTAGATTTTTTATCAGTGATGCAAATATTCCATATACCTGTCCATGTTCTGTGTTATATTCTGTTTTCATCCTGTAAGTTGTTATGATTTATGACTGCGCATACAGTTTTCCATCTCTACAGGCCTTCTACCAATGCCATGTGGCAAATACAGGAAAGTATATAGTTACTTTTGAAAAAAGGGGCAAAGGTAGGCTTCGTCAGAATTAAAAGAACTTAAGCTTTTATGTAGAGATAAAACTGTGGAAGCACTTTTTGTCTCAACAGTTTAGAAATTCTCCTGATGCACTTTAACCCCAGTACATCTATTCCTGAAATCCAGCTCTTTTCCCTTTGCCGAACTGCTTCCATTTAATAGGCAACTGGTGTTAGGTGGGAGAGAAGCGTCACTACCTGCTTTGAAATACTGGCACTCTGGGGCAAGAGTACAGGCAGGGAATGGGCAATTTCTCAGTTTGCATGGCTGCAGGAATTGTAATTTACATTGTACTTAATTGTATAATTTCATGCTTTACTTCTCAGTATCTATGTAAGGCACAGTTTAACATGAATTTGTGTGAAACTCTGTTTTCTCTCCTGAACTAACTTTTGTTGAAAACCTAGAGTTGAGAGAAGCTGTACCTGATTCTGATTATGGATTGATGAGAAACATAGAGGTCCCACTATCAAGATAAGCATGTGCTGGCTGGCTATATGGCACAAAACAGAGATAGTATCAATTCAGTGTCCCTTGAGATATGTTCAGGAGGTGATGACACATTAATTTTGAGGAAGTAGGCTTTTTGCTGGTTCCAAATTGTCCTCCTGCAGCCAGTAGAAAGACAAACATAAGCCCTATCCAGTTTGGTTTATTCTGTGAGGATGTGAGGTGGTGTATTTTTTTTTTATTCAGCTGGGTGGCTGATATTGGTGCTTACATGAATTGGGAAACTGGTACCACTGAAAACCTCTGTCAGCTCTTTTGTAACCAGTGTGGCTGGACACAGAGAAACTTGCTGGCACAGCGGGAAGAGTACCGATGCATAGGTTTGGGGGGCTGCAAAGTAAAGAACAGGTCTGTCCTTTTCACAGCACCACAAGTGAAGATTAATATAAGTCAGTAAGACCTTGGTTGGTCTGAGGTTGTGTGCCCATTCAAGTTTATGCTGTTATATGTTGCCAAGGACAGATTCTGGCCTAGCATGTTAGGATCCACAGTATCAAAGCCAGTAAAAGGTAGTTTAATGTGAAACTGCCAACATTTTTATGGGTTTCTCTTTTCATTGTTGGTACAAAAAGCACCAAAGTACCTGTGCAGTAGACAGTAGTACTCTAGTCAGCAAAAGGAGGAGGGTAGTAAAATCTTTCCTTTGTTGTGCCTCTTTAGATAGCAAAGACAGTTGTCACAGTGTGCACCATTTGCTACAAATCCATTTAGTCTCATAGTCTAAACTTCATCAACTGAAGTTGTTTATCCTGCTGCTTATTCTCATCCTTTTGTTTCTTAGAGCTTCAGAAGCTGTTAAGTAAAAAAGTCACTGTACAATTAGTGTCCCCTGTCACATACAGTTACAGCTGATATATAGACTGAAGGCCACTTTCTAAACCTCTTCATAAGGCTCATAGGAAGGAAAAATTATTTCAGTCTCTAAATGAGAGAACTGTTACAGAAAGTTGCTGAATGTTATTTCTCGTTCTAAAGCAGGAGAGTAATAAAAAAAAAATCAAAGAAGTAAGGTGCTTAGGTTTAAAACCACATTTTGCTGCTTTCAGGAGCATTAAAAGAGATGCCTGAGTAAGGAAAAATGAGTGAGAGAGTACATTTTTCCATTTGCATTTGTAGATTCCAGTAAATACATTTTCATAGTAGTAAAATTCATTAATCAAGAACATTTCCTCTAAGGCTTGAAAGGCAGTTTTTTCTTATCCTTGGATTCCTTTCTTAATCACAAAATAATAATAAACCAAGACAAGTGTTTGCATTGAGACAAATTTCAAGGTTTGTTTTGTTTTCATTTAAAGGCTTCTGAAAACAGAAACTTGGCATTTGATAAGGGGATATTGGATGACCAGTTTTTGTTAGGGTTAATTTGTAACAGTGATTCACAAAGACTGGACTTTGGGCCAGCACTTGCCTTCAGCATCCTGTAATTGCTATCAGTTTGTTTCAAAACAGTTGTTAAAGTATCCTGAATGATTTCATAACATTGCTTTTCTGTTAAAGCTGTTGCTGTCACTGCTCCAGAAATGATGGGTGACTACTAATGGCACTTTTCAATAGGAGTGGAAATTAACAAGAAGATATCCTTGTGGGTAAGGTCTACACCATACTGGTAGACAGTCTGCCCCTCAAAGGACTGTAGGTCTTCTTTTGAATTTTCAGAAATTCTACAGAAATTGTTCATGAACTTGAAACGTGATCCAGAATTCTCCCCTTGAAATCACATTGCCAGGCTATTTGCCTTGGTTTGAGGAGGGAGTGTGTGTGTTTTGGTTTGGTTTGGGGTTTTTTGGTTTCGGGGGGGGGTGGCTTTTTTTTTTTTTTTTTTTTTTTGGCATAGCTTATCCTCTCTCATTAATAAAATGCAGTACTGTGCTATTTCAGACATAGTCCCTTGCTGTGGCACTGAACAAGATGGGCATCCAGCTATGAAGCAGAAACTATTTGTATGAGTATTGGTTTGATCGAAGTTACATAAGTACTGCTTTTGTTGGGCATTAATCATTCATGAATAGAGGCCTTTCAAGGAAAGAAAAATGTGAATCTTATTATGACACAAACCCAAATCTTTTTAGTAGTCAAAGTAGTAGTCTCAGAATGGTGGTGGTGTTTGTTCCCACCAAATTGCCTGTTCTAAACTGTTACGCAAGTGCAAGTTCTGCTTGGTGTGCAGTCTTAATTATTTAGGAGCTACACATCTCTGTCTTCTATTTTCTAAAGTGAAGCACTCACTCTAGTATATGCTGTTCCAAGAACTATAACAAGGGTAGTTTCGTATTCTTGAACCCTTTCTTATGTAATTCTCACTCCTGAAATGTTTTTGTTGGAGTGCTGAAGTAGTTCTGATCATGAAACTTCTGGTGTTGTCTGCTTCCTCTGTTACAGTCTCTTCCTTGTTTGGTGAGTGGGAGTTAAAACCTGAAAAAGGACACCAAAATAGCATCTTCAGACTGGTGAAAATACACCATACCAAGGGAAGATACTGATAGCCTTCTTTCCCTTCCCAATGGTTTTCTATATTCACTCCTTCAATTTTTTCAAAAGGATTCCTTTCTTTACCAATTTCTTATTTTTACTCAGTTCTGCCATAATTTTTAATCCATCAAGTAGGACTGTGTAGTCAGTGTGAGAAAGTTTCAGAGATAGTCTCAATTTATGTACATACATTTATCCGAGTTTTGTGCTGTACTTTTGAACCCTTTTCTCCCTTTCAAGCCTTATTTGTTGAATTTAAGTCACTTCACTCTGATGTAAGCGTCAGATCATGTCAAGTCACTCTTATGGAAGCATACTGACGATGGAAAAGTGAACAAATAAGCATGAAGAACTAGAAGGGCATTGCCAGGTTGTGCAGGGATGCAGTTAGAAAAGCAAAAGCTTGAACTGAAATTGGCTAGAGAATGGCCTACAAAACCTGACCTACAAGAAAGGGTTAAAACAAGTAGAAACAGATGAAAATATTGTCCCAGTGTTAAACAGGAGAGGTAAATCAGTAATGAACACTGAAAAGGCAGATGTTCTCAACACTTCACCTCTGTCTTTACCAGTACTGTTGAGTCTCAGGCCTTGGGATCAAAAATCCAGGTTGATGCAAGGGCATCACCATCAGAGATAAAGGAGTCTTTATTCCATGCTTGTCAGGAATTATTCCACACCTGTAATACTTTGTTCAGTTTTGGTTTCCACTATATAGAAAAGATGTGGGCAAGCTCTAGGTTATCCGGAGAAGGGCCACAAAGGTGGTCAAAGGACTGGGAAACCTGTCATGTGAGGAAGGGCTGAGAGAGCTGGATTTGTTTAGCTTTGAGAAAAAGGCGGCTCAGGTGAGACTTGATCACCATGTTTCAGTATTTAAAACGTGGCTACAAAGAAGATGAAGGCTGCCTTTTTACATGGAGTCACATGGAAAAGATGAGGAGTCATGGGTACAAGTTATTCCTGGGAAGATTCCACTGGGACACAAGGGGAGAAATTTTCACTGTAAGAACAGTCAGCCATTGGGAAGGTCTCTCCAGGGAACTGGTGGGTTCCCCAAAATTGTATACTTTGAAGACTCATCTGGACAGGCTGCTGAGATACTTTGCTGGCCTGTAGCTTTGCCAAGAAATGTTGCATGAGATGATCCTTGAGGTTCCTTCTAACCTGGTATTTTGTGATTCTCTGATGTTACAACCCACTGTCTACATTTTTTGGGCAGTTTGAAAAGTCAGAGTCTGTACAACCAAATAATTGATTTTTGAAGCTTCTGCTAAAACATAGTGCTTCCTGTATATTTTTAATTGAAGAGCAGTCATCCCTCTGAGGTCTAAGAGGTAAAGATGACACTCCATTATTATTACAAAAATTATTAAGAGTTACAATGTTACTAATAAATCTATTTTTAGCAAACTCATCCCTGAATTCTTACTTTTTGTACAGACTGCATCCTCAGCTATTAAAGGTGCTATCCAGCTGGGAATAGGATACACAGTGGGAAACCTTACATCAAAACCAGACAGAGATGTTCTTATGCAAGACTTCTATGTAGTAGAAAGTGTCTTTCTACCAAGGTAAGAACAAGCCTATTAAATTTATTTTCAATAGAATTTCATAAGGAAACTCTAACCAAATATTTCAAACAAGTGTTATTTTCCAGTTCTAATGAAATGGGGTTAGAGTAAAATCCATGTATTATAAATTGAACATTATCCTATTCATGTCATCATTGAAAATGAAGGCAGGTAGAAAACTGGGAATATGACACTTCAACTGAAGATTTGAGACTTGTCACTTCTGGAGAAGGAAAGCAATTGTGACACTTTCAATTAAGGAGCTGTTAATTACAATTGGAAGTGATTTGTGGATCTATACGCAATTAAGTATTATGTCCAGCAGTCACATGTTTGTTTAATTTCCATTTAGTTTCTAAAAACTGAGAATAATACTATTTTGCTGAGGTGTTGTCAAAATTTATGAAAATTCAAGTCCTGCAGTGTTAAGAGTAATATAAGAATTTACACTACATTATAACATTATAGCCAGGACTTCAGCTTGTGATTCAGCTGTTACTAGCTGTCTACAGGTTGTGCACAATTACTGCTTTGCATTTGTCCACCCCAGTTTGTATCACTGCCAAGTTGATGCTATAATCAGTACTGCTGATGAGGGAAAAAGACATCTGTACTCATCTGGAGGATTCAGAAGCTGAAGTATAGGGCTGTGTAACTTTTTCAAGTTACATATTTTATGAATGGATAACAAAAATTAGGAAAAATAAAACCAGTCTGACTTGCTTTGTTCAGTATTATCTGGGTCCTTGAAAGTGCTGAGTTCCAATAATGCTCAACATTTCTGTAAGGACATGTGATGTGTGCAGTATTCCTTGAATTTTTGAAGGCTTTCTAGGAATTTTTATAAGTTTTGTTCATGTGCAGTTTGATTGCTATTTTGTAAATGTTTTCTAATAATTTACAATCATAAAAAATTACCAATGTTGCTAAAACAAAAAACTGACAATGTACAAAATAATTGCTGGCTCATGAAAGTTGTTCTCTCCTCACATGAATTTGCTTGATACAACTCCTGCTTTCCTCTGAGCTGAAGTGTCATTTAAGGAGAAGAAAATTTATTTCTTACATGAAATAAAGCTTTTACATTACATTCCTTAGTTTCTAGTAATAGTATTCGTATACTTGTTCTGGTGTTAACTCTAAGGTTTGTGCAGTTTTGTAGTCTTTCTCTTCTATATTGGGTAAATATAGAGAAGTTAACTATATGCATGTGTTTTCATACATCATAGTCACAATAGTTTGTTTAAAAAAAATCCAAATTACAGTTGAGAGATGTGTGTATCATACCAGTTTTTATTGGTTTGAAAAATGGAGTGAGAGGAAGTGAGCCATCATACTTGTGAAATGTGTGACTGACAATGATGCAGGCTTTTGTACTTGGTTTGGCTGCAGTAACAGCTTTGTTCATGGAAATTAATTGAAGTATACATGCTAAAATTGTTTAATTACATGGAACAATTTTGGAAAAAAATAATTATATCTTTTTTAACATTATTCTAAAGCAACAAGTAAACTAAAATGGTTTGTAATCCATAGCGTTGTATATGTTTTCTGTGAAACTTCCATACATGTACACTCAGAAATCATATTTCCATGTTTTGTGTTGTTTTTAAGGGAAAGGTGGGAAAGATCCCTTCTGGGTTAAAAAGAAAACAAAGGCATCAGGAATAGCCTGTTCGCTCTAACATAAAATGTATTATGAAAGTTTTAGTAGCATCTTTCTGAACAGTTTCCTATAAATAAACAAATAACTCATATGAGGAAACTTAGACAAATGAAAGTAATAGCCAGAGCAGCATAGTTGTTCTTGTTTTGTTTTTCATAGCTCTCTAGTAAGCAGGAGTATATAACATAGTGAGTCATCCTGACTGTAACTAAGAGCTTCTCTTATAAGGAGCACTTGCTGGTAACATTCTCTATAAATAAAAATTGGCTATCCACAGCGATCTCTTAAAACCATGACACGTGATTTCTTATGCTAATGCACAGAAATGTTAAGTTTCAAGTCCTTCCTGTGTCTCAATGTAACATGAACATTCATCTAAAATGGTTTCAGTACAAAGTGATACTAGTTTTCATAGTTTTCATAAATTGCAATAATTTAGGATTACATACAATACAGGCTTGCTTTCTTGCTGGTTAAGGGCATTGGAATGTTGAGTCTTTCATGGTGGTATGATGTTGATCACCCAAGACACATTTACAGGTAGCTTTGTTACCCCTAGACAGAGGGTTGCACATTTTTAGCAAATACTCCCATGTCAGGTGCTCTTCACTTTTTCCTAGGATGGTACCTATATGTGAAGGAGTATTATTAAAAGTCATTGCTTTAGAGTTTTTGTTTTGCCTCCCCCTTTGGATTGGTCTGGGTTGAAAGCAATGAGTTACACCTGCTGGTCTAGTGGGCTTACTTTTACCTGGAAGCACCCCTGGAGCAAGCTGAGGTTAAGTAAACTTTTTGCCAATGTCCACAGCTGGAGGAGAACCTGACAGTACAGCAAGGGTGGTGCTGAAAGCAGGTGCTTACCAAGCAAGGAACAGATTTTTCCACTTGCTTTGTGTACTCATAATTCAGCTGCAGCTCCAGGCAGGCTATTAGATGAGCTTGCCCTTCACTGTGGCCAGCTCATAACAACAGCTGTGCTACTCCGCCTTCCTCCCATGTTTTCCCTTGTGTCCCCCTTGTTTCACTCGGGTGTGGCAATGACCTGAGAGAACAGCTGTTTTGCAGAGTCACAGGCACACCTGCTGCACTGACAACAGGAGGCTATTATGGTCGCAGTGACAAAATAGACCTGGGGTAGTAGAAATGCAATGAAACAGCAGCCTGTGCTCCAGTGAGCAAAACACTGTTCTCTGTGCCCTTTTACTGTTAGTCAACAGCTGTTTATAAATTTTACCAGTTGCAGAAGATAAAAAGGCTCTGAGTCTTTCTCAGCCCCTGCAGTAAACCTCAGCATTGCCCGTACCTCAGCTTTAGTAACCACAGCAAAACAGTTCCAGTGGTGTTCAGGAGTCATGAAGGAGAGAGAAAAATGCTAGGGCTAAAAAGTAGTCATTCAGACCTGAATGTAACTGCTCTGCTTATTGTGGAAGCCACTGAAATAATTCAGAAGTAACTCCATAGGCTACAAGATATGCCGGGTCCTGAGTTACTTTGTAACTGGGTTAAATTGGTCAGAGTTTAGTCCAGATTCATTTAAGTGTTTGTTTCTGGAAGTGACTTTTTGGGAAGTACAGGTAGTTCTGTACAGTGGGTGGATTGGAATTGCAGAGGTGCTTGCTTTCATTTGTACATTGTAGTGTTGGAGGGGGTGGAAAAGTGCCTCTGTTGTTTTCTGCTTCACATTGTGGCGCCTCCTTTGTCCCTTTCTCTTTGGGCTGCCCAGGAGTTGATAACATGCGGCTTTTGGGAACTAAGGTAGGTATTACTAGGGGCTGCTATAAAAGATTAATTGAGAACTACCATCCAGTTTAAATGGTACTGTGTAAATGTGCCATTTGGACTGAGAAGAAAAGGCAGCCTACAGTGACCTAGTTGATTCTGGAGGCAGTGTCTGAAGTCTCCCCCACCTCCCTGAATAGGGTGAGAACACAGGAGGAACTACTCCCAGGTAGCTTTTCTTTTGGCTTTTAAACACTGCTGTGGAAATCTGTGCTGCAGCAGTGGCTGGAGGGTTCAGTGGGAAGGTTGTGCGTCCTGCCTGTGCTCTCTGTGCCCTGTCCTGTCACCCAGCTGTGTGGGGCATATTCTCCCCTTCCTGCATTATGCTCTATACCCCTGACTTCCTTGGTTGGAGCCAGTTCATTTCTTGGTGGCACATTTTGTCTCCAAACTAGTCATTTCTGCAGTGTGGTCACAGCAGTGTTTTCAGAGCTGTTTGGTTCAAGTGTAGAGCTGGCTTAAAGTAAGGTGGCCACCATCAGAAAGACTCATTGCTGAGCTAATAAGGTTATTTGTATAAGACAGTGATTGCTCAAGCTGGTCATTGGGGTATGGGGCCATGAAGCTGCCTGTCAGTCGGCAGTGTGGGCAGCTTCCTAAGCTCTTCCAGCAGACACATACTAGCTAAATAGGCTGGTTTTCCAAAAGCAGTGCTTGACAAGCCAAACAGAAGCTGCTCCATTCTGTCAGCTAACTTTGGCTAATGAGTCATATGCAGCTTCAGAAATGCAGAGTATTTGGAACAGACCGGTATGTTTCAAACTCCATCTCCTTGTTTTCTTAGGTGGAGGCTGCTGCTAAGCACACCTGTGAGTCTGACCTTTTTTGCAGCAAGGTGGTCATCAGTATTATGCACTTCCCTTGCTAATATGCTTTATTTTTAGGGTCTACACCCTTCATATTGAGATACTTGCTATGGTTTCTAATTTAACTAGTAGGTCTGTTAGATGCTGTTGACCTGTAAGCACTCTACAGCTACAGTCATCTGTATAGCAAAATGGCTCAATTGCATATTGCTTTCTTGTGATGCTAATGAAATATTATTCAGTGCTTTCTGCTATTTAATGTCAAAAGCTCAGTATTGTATTACGAAAGCATTTGGATGACAGAACACAGAAGTAGTCAGAAGAAAAAAGGACCACTCTGGGTTTTACCCTATGTCTAAAACTGAAGTGTACTGTTTTCTTGTATGTTTTTGTGGACTGATTTAGAAAAATGAGGAAAACTGACACTTGGCCTTGGAAGTATATTTGTACCAAACCTATACATTAGGTTTCCTAATGGGCTAAGTAGTGTCTTTGTAATTAAAGAAGTATAGAGTGCTCTGCAGGCTCAATGTGAATGATACTCAAATGTTCACACTGATGCTTAGCTGCCTATGTTTCCAGTTGGGCGGCTTCACAAGACAGATAAGAAAGTGGCCTGAAGCCTTTGATAAAGCACTGCTGCTCTTCTTTGGTGCTTCAGTTGCAGAGATACACAGGATGACGCAAGTTCCGACACACTTCTTATAGTTTGTCAGTAGAGAGATACACAGAGAGGAGAGAGTAATTTCTGTTTGCAAAACAAATAGTATGTGAAATGGGGTTAGTGTGGCAACAAAAACAAAAAGACATTTATTAAAAATTACTGGTCTTAGCTACTTCTTTTTCCGTAGAAGTGGTTGAGTCAGCATACCTGGAAGAGTTCAGAAAACATGTAGATGAGGCCCTTAGTGACATGGTTTAGTGGTGGACGTGGCAGTCCTGTGGTAAAAGTTGGATTTCATGATCTTAAAAAGTCAGCTAGGTTGGAAAGTCCTATGATTCTATTATGCTGTCAAATTCTAGGTAAACCTGTGATAACCTGAGTACTTGTGTGATTATGTAGACAAACTATTTCTACAGTACTCTGATACCCTTTGCTTAAAGGGCATTTCTAGTTGGTTGTGAAATAGACATTATCATTGTAAGAAAATGTCTATGTATTCAGCTGTTACATAAATATTGACTTTGCTTGTTTTGAAGATATTTACTATTCACAGGTATATTTCAAAGCTGCCTTGAGGGCAGCTGCTTAGGATAGCATAGTAACCAAAAGTATAGGAGAATATATGGTGGGAAACAAGGATGTTACTACTGGACTTTATCCCACAGTATGAAGAAAACCAACACACACCCATTTGTACAGGTAACCATAATATTCATTTGCATCATGTAGGAAATAATTGCTTTCCTGAAATGATATATAGAAAATAAATACGCCAAAGCACTACCCAGTCTGTCAGTAGGTATTTATTGGGTACAGTTTGTAAAACTTAAACACATTTTGATTGTGAAAGAGCACCTTTATCCAAGAACAGGGAAACTAAGATTGCATACTTTTAGTTTTTAATATTGGGAACCTTTAACTTTAGGTGTTTTATTTTGATTTTAAGATTTTAAAAAGAGCTGCTTTTTAAAAAGAGAACTGAGGTGTTCCTCCTCCTCGCTCTTTTTACAGTACATACAAGAAGGGTGTACATGGGCCCACAACTACAGTGTGATTATTTCTTTTGTTAACAGCTACATCAGAGCCTATTAACATTGCTCTGCAATGCAAGTTTGCTACCAAGAGATGCAGTTGGCCTTCTCTGCCACTTCACATAGGTGTGCTGTCTCCTAAGTATGTCCTACTAGGGTGAGGCCACAGTAAAAAAAGCTGCCAACAAACGTATCTGGGTCTCTTGGTTAGCAAATTTCTCTCAAGCCTGTCCATTACAAATATAGTTCATTTTTAGTTTGATATTGCACAGTCTATGCTTTAAATCAACTATAAACATTTAGTAAAAAACAGGTCAAAATGAACATACTGTCATTTCTAGGTGTGCTTGATTTAAAAAAAAAATCTAAAATTGAAGTATTAAATAGAACTCTCACAGTAAGTTTCATATGTCTTTTTATTGTTCTACCTGCCAAGCTTTTCTTTTGTGTGGTCTTACAGCCAAGGTTATTAAAATACCTCATAAGTTACAATTGCTTCCTAATCTTTCCAGCTGTATTGCTTGTGGTAGCTTGTACACAGAGACTTGAATTCCTCAAGATTGCCAGAACCAAAGCTGGTATTAAAAGCCTTTATTTTTCCTTTCCTAAACTATCTGACAGGAAAAAATAAATGATTACCTCTTTTTTTATGATAGAGTACATTTCTGTTATATCCAGAGCTCTGTTTTGCAGGTAGATTTTTTTGTCATCAGATCACAGGTATTTTTCTTCTTCAACTTCAAAGACATAATTGTCCCCATGAAACTCCCTAACCTGATTAAAAATTGTTATATGTGGTGCTTTGTGCATATACTTTATCCAGCAAGAATGAAACACCCTGTAAAATGTGCCAAGAAAATGTGGGGAAAAAACCACAATTCTCAAGAGCTAATAAAGTAGAAGGTGAGTAATTTCATGTCTAAATAAGGTAGAGGTGTATTTACTTCAAGCATTCTGTACAGTAGAAACTGTCCTTTTCAGGCAAGAATAAGGACATACTCAGCCACAAGGAATTTGAAGTTTTCCATTGCTGTAAGAAATTACTGGAGACAAGGCTACTTTTTCTGTTACAAGTAGCAACAAAAAAATCTTACAAACTTTCTTCCAGAGGAGTTACCAGTAAATCATACATTTGTGTCAGGCTTGATTCTTGCATCACACAAGAGCTTACTGTTGGGATCCTGTAAACTATTCTATTAGGCAGTGAAGCTGAAATGAATTAGTATGTTTAACAGAAGACCTTTACTAAAAGGGATTTTTAAATATTATTTTACAAAGAAACTTGTCTGCGTAGTGAAATTGACTGTTACACACTTGTAAATCAAGCTCACATGCTCTAAATACATAAATTGCCTCTCTGTCAATGCTGTTCCAAAATAACTGCTGTTTGCAATTAGTCTGGAATAAATCTCCAGTTACTATGCATTGCTGTCCATCTGTAGACCCAGAATTGATCATTTTACACCATATAAAGTTACTAAAAGGTTTAGACTCATGGTATTTTCATAGCAAACCTATCTTAAATTCAGCCTGGTGAAGTTCCAAACATGGTACATATTCTGGTATAGTAAAGACAGGGAATCTATTTATTGCCACACTTTCACAAAAAAAAGCTTTTAAGTTACGATTGCAGGAAGCAGATTTATAAAGGTAGTTATGTACTGAAAGACAGGACTTTTGCATAAAGTTTAGAGGATTAATCTTACCTGACAGTGATGTGGTGGTTCATCTGTTCTGCATCTTAACTCTCGGCTTCTTACAACAGTTACATGTATTTACAAGTATGCCTCCAGGTCCCCAGTGTAGCTATGTTACCCCTGTGGCATCCTCATATTGCACAAATATTCAGTGAAATGCATCTAGGTATATGAAACTTAATTCAGATGAAACTGTCAGTGTTCTGATCAGCTGAAAGACCTTATAAGAAAAAGCATTCACCAGTCTTAACTGAAAAGAAAAACTACCAACTTCAGCCTAGCATTCTACTGGTTTTCATTATTTACTATATAGTGGAACAACAAAATGCATGTGGATTTTATTTTAATGCCTTGAAATTGTGATACAGTAGATTATAAAGTGATCAGATGAGTTCATTAGGACTAGATAGCCTTTACTAACTGTTAACTGTATGGTTTAGAACTCCAAGAAGTAGTAGTTTTCTAATGTTTTTGTATTCGTTCTTGGTTTTCCACATCCCAAATGTAATTCCCAAATAAAAATCAGGGCTTTTTTCCCCCCCTCCTTTTGTCTCCTATTTAAGAGTTAGAGTATATGCATTATCAGTCTAGAGCCTGAGAAAGCTTGTTCACACTGCTTAATTAGCAGTTCAGTTCTGTTGGATTTTGGTGGTACGTATGCAGGGGCAGCTAAGGTGGGTTGTGTAGAATTGTCATCAAATGGTTATTGATGGAAGGTGACAAATTCTTACGACAAGCATTAATTGTACAAGATCAAAGCTCTTAAATATTTTCATGATGCTTAATTTAGCCTTTGCAGGAATGTTGCTTAGAGTTTATTCCTTTTCATAGCTGTGTGAATTCATAGCTTTTTTTCTTTTTCTTTTTGGATATTACTTACTTTGGATATTCTTCTTGCCAGTCATAGAGGTACATGCTGCATTTCTGAATAATTTAGTTAGGGTAAATGACTAAACAAGTACTGGAAGAGCTGATTTCATCCACTGTGTCAAGCCATGGATTTTGTGCTCATTTATCAAACCATTCAGAGACTGACCAAACTTTGTCTTAAAACTGCTCTTGTTTGTGTTGAAATCATAGCATAGAACACTTCTACTTAAAAGCCTTCTTTTGGTTCCATCATAAATGAAACCACAAGCAAGTAGGGTGAGGGTGGTGGTGGTGCTTTTGGTTTGTTTGTTTTCTTCTGGCAGAATTTGCTGCTGACCTCTTCCTTCAGCTGACTTGTAGGCTGGTCACCCTAGTAGTCTTTGTGCCTCTTCTAGTTTGAATCTGTAGCTTGCACATAACTGCATACCGTTCTGCAGAATTCCCCTAAGGGTCTGTACCTTGTGTTCCTATTTAACCAACTGAGCATGTAAGCTAGTGCTGGTTTAGACTGAAGTGAGGTAAAATATATGACTTGACAGGAAGACAAATAGAAAACCACTTTGAAATCAGAGACTAATGCTGAGAATGCTGTTTCATAAATAAGGCAGAGCCAATCAATGTTTGCTGCCATTAAAATATGTATGTAGTCCTGCATCCTCCCCATTGCTCTGGCTGCATGATTCTGCCCTCAGTGCTGTGCTGTCCTTAGTATCCATCTGAGTTCCCTGCAAACCAGTTCAGGTCACCAAGCAAGTATGAAGTTGTTTTGCTGCACTGACTTCCAGAATTTTTGCAAGAACATTCATGAGGTGGCGGTGAGCCTTCCTGTGTCAGTAAACTATTAGGCTGGCTTACTTTGGAGGGCTATGAGAAATTGTAGCATTAGTTAAAACCCGATATTTATGTAAAGGGATATGGGTGGTGAAAACAGTCATTCCCTTTAAGGAGCGAAAAAGGAATTTGCTGTCTGTATTGTATTATATGTCTCTCAGACATTTCTATTACACTGACTAATGGTGATAGGGAGGTTTATCTGCATTTGTGACTTTTGTCTCGGAAGGCCAATGGTTGAGTTAAGCAACTTTACAGTAAAACTAGCTGCAAGAAGGAAGTTGCTAAAAAATGCTCAAAAATAATTGGGTTTGGTTTATTTTTGTTTTTGTTTTCAGTGAAGGGAGCAATCTCACCCCTGCTCATCATTACCCTGACTTCAGATTTAAGACGTATGCACCTCTTGCCTTCCGCTATTTCAGAGAACTTTTTGGTATCAAGCCTGGTGATTACTTGGTAAGATACTGCAGTTTTCTTTTGAGTTACAAATTATTATAATATGTACTAGTTTCATAGTGAAAGAAAAGGATGCTTTAATGGTGCCCAAATGGGTAGTAAATTTTATTCATGAAGTAGTTCATAACTAGTGAATACTTTTAGTGTTTTACAAAAAAATTAATTCTGCATCTTAAACCTGCCTTGCTAATTGACTAGTATTAATGGACTTGAGTCATTCAGGTTTTGGTTCTAGAGAAGCTATAATCAGTAGCTGTGTGACTTCTACCAATTCAGTTCTAATAAAGTGCTCTTGTATTATTTACATTCACTTCATTAAATAAGTGTTTGTCTGCAGATCTTCCCATGTAGCCCTGAGAAAAGTGGGTGACAGGCCAGAAAAGAAGTGCTTTGTTCTCTTTCTTTTATAGTTTGAAGACTTACTCCTCCTCAGTATTGAGCTGTTTAAGTGAGAAAGTTGTATTTGCTGCTATCATAAAAGCAGCCTTTACTTGGTAAAACCACTTTGTGTGCTGCCGGGAACAAGGATCCACTATTTTATTTAACCAGTAGTTCTGCTTTTGGAAGGGTAGTGTTACGGAGCTAAATTTTCTAGGTGTTTGCCTCGTGGCCAGTTTGTCTCATGGCAGTCCACCCAACAAATCAGAGTCCCAGTGCAAATTAGCGCTTTTATATGTCAGAGTTTTATGTTAACTCATTCTTTTCCATTTTAAAGCTATTCTTCCTTGTCCTATCCCTGCATGTCCTTGTAAGAAGCTCCTCTCCAGGTTTCTTGTAGGCCCCCTTTAGTTAGTTGAAGGCTGCTGTAAGGTCTTCCCAGAGCCTTCTCTTCTCCAGGCTGAACAAACCCAACTCTCCCAACTTGTCTTCATAGGAGAGTTGCTCCAGCCCTCTGATAATCTTTGTGGCCCTCTTCGGGACTCAAGCAGTCCAAGGTCCCTCTTGTATAGTTGCCCCCAGAGCTGAGCGCAGTACTGCAGATGGAGTATCATGAGAGCAGAGGGGGAGAATCACCTCACTCAACCTGCTGGTTATGCTTCTTTTGATGCAGCCCAGCATATGGTTGGCTTTCTGGGCTACGAGCACACACTGCCGGTTCATGTTGAGCTTTACGTCAGCTAACACCACCAAGTCTTTCTCCTCAGGGGTACTCTCAATCCTTTCATCCCCCAGCCTGTATTGATACTGGGGATTGCCCTGAACCACATGGAGGACCTTGCACTTGGCTTTGTTGAACCTCATGAGGTTCCTTCCCATGGGCCCACTTCTTCACAGTATCACAGTATGCTAGAGATTGGAAGGGACCTTAAAAGATCATCTAGTCCAATCCCCCTGCTGGAGCAGGAACACCTAGATAATGTTACACAGGAATGTGTCCAGGCGAGTTTTGGATGTCTCCAGGGAAGGAGACTCCACTTTCTTGAGCTTGTCAAGGTCCCTCTGCATGACATCTCTTCCCTGCAGTGTGTCAAATGCACCACACAGCTTGGTGTCACCAGCAAACTTGCTGAGGGCACATCAATCTCATTGTCCATGCCAACAACAAAGATATTGAACAGCACCAGTCCTAATACCAACTCCTGAGGAACACCACTCATCACTGGTCCCCGCTTGAACATTGAGCCATTGACTGCAAGTCTTTAAGTGCAAACTTCCAGCCAAGTCATTATTCACTGAGTGGTCCGTCCATAAAATCCATGCCTCTCCAGTTAGGAGACGAGGATGTTGTGAGGGACAGATGTGTCATTATGTAATAAGTTGCTTATGGATTTGGCAAAAAAATGAAGTATGCGGGCAGTGTTGTTAGCTGCTAAAAAGACTGCACTTCATAGAGTAAAGCTATTGTTACCTGCAACTTATATTCCAAGGAAGCATTTGCAGTAGCATCAATTAAAGATTATAGAATGACTGCTTGCTGCTGTTATGATATTTGTGACACTGTTCAACTACAAAATGTCTGAGGGAAATTTCTAGTAAAGTCAGCTTATTGCAGATTCTTTTTCTTCTTGGCACAGCAAAAGACTCTAGTGGTATGTTTCCAAGAAAAGGGGGCAAGTAGAGAAGCTAGCTTCAAGAATAAGTGCACCTTCTTTTCTGGAAAATGCCAAAACAGATTGCCTTCAACAAACAGATATTTTTCTGAAATACAGTCAGAATTTTAGTGTGTGTTGTGGTAACTGATGTATGCATCTGTTAGGGTTAGCAGGTCGGGATCTATTTCTGTTGTTTCTGATTCTAAATGGGCAACACTTCACAATCAGAGGAAGCTGCAGTCCCTTGAGGTCCAGAGGCAGATGTGATCAGAGGGGGTACTATGATTATAAAACAAAACTAGTTTTAGTTTGGGCCGCTTTTCCAAATTGGTCATGAACAAAAACATCTGTTTAAGAGTTTATTCACAATAGTACGTGTCAGAATTCTGGCTGAACAGACTCCCTTGTTTCCATGAAATGTGGATCTGTCATGTTGTGAGTGAAGTTCCAATTCAGTATGTAAAATACGCTATTATAACAATATGCCAAGTGTTGGTCCAATTGTGGTTGAAGGGAAAAGTAAAATAAAAAGAGGAGAAAATTACAGCAAGCATATGTGAGTTGTCACTGTTGTTTTGTAATGAAAAAAGCCCAAAGATTTATAGTTTCACCTTTTCCAAGGAGGTTAAGCAGTAATGTGCTGTAGGAGTCAGGCTCGATAACAAGGGTGAACATATTTGAGCAGCTGGTAGAATTAATTGTCACCTCACGGGGTACTGGTAGTTTGCAGGGAAACTTCTTGGTCATAAAGTACTTAATTGCCAGGGACTTGAGGATTTTCTTACTTCTTAGTTTTGATTTGGCTTTCACAAGCATTCAGTCAAAACTAGCTGGGCTCTTTATATAGCAGCAGTTGCTGGGTAGACATATTTTACAGGAATGAATTCAACTGAAAAATGACACAGTTTAGGTTAATAACTTGTGCTTACGCTATACTGTTTTATTGAGCTTTAATGTTTAAGATAATTGGTTTCAAATGCTTACAACAATAAGAATTACTCATGAAGCTTTATGTATTTTGGCAAGAAAAACACAGGGGTTGCAATACAACTACTGATTTGTGCAGAATGTCTGTTATTACACACCAGTATTGTTCTATCAGTAGACAAGGGCAACTGCAGGATTAATAAGAAAGGACTCTGTATTAACTGGAACTGAGTGAACTTGGAGAATGAGGTAGAAAAAGAAAACATTTTTATAGCTTGCAAAACTCTCTTAAAAACTGTGATCATGGGAAAAGCCTCAATTAGAGCCAGGGTAAGAAAATGCATTAAAGTAGTGCTTAGAGTCCATAGGAAGCATGCTTCTTTAGTTCAGGTTTTCACAAAAGAACATACTTATTAGATTGTATCACTTTTCTTTGCTATCACCAGTTTCTGAAATCAGTGGCAAGACTCCAGTTGAATTTAATGAAAGCTGTTTTCAAGAAACAAAACTGGTTTTTCTTGTGGAGTTGCTCAACTCATCTTCAGCAATACACAATAAACCAGATATTTGTTACTAAAACCATTAAATCCTTTTGCTCTGAGAAAACTAGAAGACATACTGTACTGCTAAGAATAATTCCCTGGTGCCTATGCTACTCACAATTCACATCCTGTGTAATTTTCTTTCTTTTAAAGATGAAGCCTTAAAATATTGGCCTGGAATTTTCACTGTAAATTTATACTGCTGTAAATTTAGGATTTCTGTGGTTGAAGACTGAAGAATAAGCTCCATGATTCTCTTGTGCCTATCTGAACCTGCAGTTCTTTGTTTTAAAAATGTGTTTGAATAAAGCATGCATTGGCAGTGAAAACCAATTTTTGTTTCTTTCAGTACTCCCTCTGCAGTGAGCCTTTAATTGAATTATCCAACCCAGGTGCCAGTGGGTCCTTATTTTTTGTAACTAGCGATGACGAGTTCATCATCAAAACAGTTCAACACAAAGAGGCTGAGTTTCTTCAGAAGCTCTTGCCAGGTTATTATATGGTAAGTAATTTAAGTCTGTATTTTACCTGTGGCATTCCTGTTTCATGTCACACTTCTGAAGATTTAGTTTCATTTGGTTTTTAATCCTTCATTGGCTTTATCCATGTTTCTTAATATTTTTGTCATTTTTTACCCCTAAGGGAATGAATAAATATAAATCAAGAATATACTGAAGATAATAATAGCTGCTATTTTAGCATTCAAAATGAAGCTGAATGTCATCTTCTCATTTGATACCAAACTTTGCTTATAGTAAGTTAGTGACAAAAAAAGGTTTCTAAGTTTCTAATTTTACTTTTTTTCTCCATTTTGTGTTTGCTGATCCTTCGCATTTCACTCAGTGGACAAAGAAACTAGACTGGTCAGTTTCACTTTTGTTTCTGGATTAGTTATAATTTCCATTTCTTGTGTGTTAAAACAGTAATGTAAAAATATATTTATACATATAATCTGTTCAAAACTTTATTTTTAAACTGAGCTTTTTGAGGGCAGATTCTAAGTTGTATTGTTTTATGTGTGTCCATCATCAGAAAGGGAAACCATTGAACCAAAGTAAATATAACTTAATTCTCCTTTTCTTTTTAAACAAAAGCCACTCATATATGACCATATGACCTTTGAAGGTCCCTTCAAACCCAAGCTATTCTATGGTTCTATACATACGAACAAAGATTCTTCCTTACTCCTCTTCCTTTGGTTTCTTAAGCAGACATTAGCAGAGTTACTCTCTCACTTGTACTAAAATGAGGAATATTATCATTATTACACTGAAATACATGGATTCACTGTTTGTTAAAAAAAAAAATGCACTGTCAGCATCAAAAAGAGCAACGGTGGCTGGTACTTTTTCTGTTGTTGTTTCTAATCTTGATAATCAGCTTAGTGTAAGTTTGAGTTAGTGCAAGTGAATGTAAGGCCACTTTGCTTTGTTCCTGAGAACTTTATTCTCACTGCTACCATATGCAACAGTTTCTAAAGGATAAAACTTTGATCACTGTGATTATTTCCTTTGAAAGCACTTTCTTCCCATAGTTGTATGTTGTGACTTATTAAGCTTGTAAGATGTGAAGTTGGTTTTCCCATCTTACTTTTCATGCCAAAAACTGAGAGTAGTTTCAGAAGGAGGATTTTTGCTCGCATCTCTTTTATCCTCTCCTAGTTGTTTGTGGGGTTTTTTGCCTGTTGTGGAATTTGGATTATGTCACACTTTTCTGATGATCAGTTGTGGTTCTGTTACGACCTTACACACCTGTGGAGACAGCTTAGTCATTTGGCACTAACAATGTGGAAAGCCTTGTGGACACAGGGGTTCTGTTTTTCAGAATCCAAGTCAAGGTAATGAGAACTACATTTGACCAAAACTCCTTCCATCAGGTAGAATGCAAGGTTGTTCAAGTCAGAATAAATAAACTAAATCTTTGGGAGTGTTGTGGTTTAAACTGTACCATCTACTAGAAAGCAAATTAACTCTACCTCAGCCGAAACAAGCACAGGGATGCTTTAGTCTGTTCTTTTTGTCTTCTAGTCTGCTCTTTCATGGAATGTGAGAAAGACAAATCTGGCATACATGCAGTTACTGCTTAGCTCTTGGCCTATCTATGTTCCTGGCAAAAAGGAGTGTTTATGCTAGCTGTCTCAAATACAGTCTCACAAAGAAAATTAATTGGTCAAAGAAACAGTATTGGATAAGAAAATGTAGTTTTTTTGATGTCTGTTAATGTCCTTTGGTATTGAAAATAGATACATTTAACAATCTCTTTTGTTTTAGAATCTGAACCAGAATCCAAGGACTCTTCTACCCAAGTTTTATGGGCTGTACTGTGTTCAGTCTGGAGGCATTAATATTAGAATCGTTGTAATGAACAACGTTTTGCCACGAGCCTTGAAAATGCATTTCACGTATGACTTGAAAGGCTCCACATACAAACGGAGAGCATCAAGAAAAGAGAGGGAGAAGTCCAACCCTACATTCAAAGACTTGGATTTCTTGCAAGATATGCATGAAGGGTTGTATTTTGACTCTGAAACACACAGTGCACTAATGAAAACACTACAGCGGGATTGTCGAGTAAGTAAAAAATACTGTTTCAACTTCTGTGTTTTTATCTGTTCTATATTTACCTCAGCAAAACAGAGTGGGATGTGGCTTTGTAAGTTTAACCTCCATTCCTTTCTATGGAGTTTTAGGAAAACCTGTGAATGTCAAAGCACTGATGAAGCTTGTATTTTAGTTAAGCAGCTGGGATCTGAGGTCATGGAATTGGACAGGAGTTGGAAGGGATCCACAACAGTCATCAAGTCCAACTCCTGATGCCCGCAGGACAACCTGAAAATTAAACAGTATATCTAATACTGTTGTGCAAGTACTTCTTAAACACCAACAGGCTTGGGGCCGTGATCACTTCCCTGGGGAACTAGTTCTAGTGCTTGACCTCCCTCTCACTGGAGAACTTTTTTCTAGTATCCAATCTGAAGTTCCCTGAGCAGCTTTAAGCCATTCCCTCACATCCTGTCACCAGGCACCAGAGATCAGCACCAGCCTTTCTGCTCCCCTTGTGAGGAAGTGGTAAACAGCAATGAGGTCACCCCTCAGTCTCATGTTCTCTAAGCTGAACAAATCTAATCTCCTCATCGGTTCCTCACAAGTTAAGTCCTCTAGTGCTTTCGCCAGCTTTGTTGCCCTCCTTCGGACAAATGCTAATGTTCTTATATTGCTTTTATTCTGTGAAGCCCAAAACTGCATACAATACTTGAGGTGAGGCAGCACCAATGCTGACTGTTCTCGAACAATCTTTCAGCCAGTTGGCTATGCTGTGCTTAATGCACCCCATGTTAAGGTTGGCCATTTTGCATGCCAGGGCACATTGCCAACTCACTGACTTTTATCATCCAGCAAAACCTCACAATCCCTTTCTGTAGGCTGTCTCCCTATTTGTCTGTACATCCAGGATTTCACTGATCCGTCTGTGGATCAAATTACTGTAGGGAAGTAGTCCAGTAGAGGCTTTCTATATTCTAGTTCTTGTTTTCCACTGATTTGGAGATTTTAATTATTTTTTTCTGAGGCACAATTAGCCCTGTGGTACTGTTGTTACATATGATAACAGAGCTTGTAACATATGATAACAGATCTTGTAACATATGATAAGAGAGTTTTTAACACATGATAGCAAGCTTGTAGAACTGCAAGCTCAGTACTGCTTCAGTAAGTCTGTAAATTAACAAGAACTAGGAAACTGAAGGGTGTGTGTGTGTGTGTCTAGTGGCAGAGGTCTTATTTCTGGAGCAAAGTAATTTCTTCCTCAGTGAAAGGTAGTGCTTAGTGTCTACATAACATTTTCAAGGCAAGAGAAGGATACTTACTTGCCATTGTCCTTTGAGAGGACCTTAGTGAATGGACTCAGTGACTATTGTGGACAGGGGAAATTGCTGTAAAATGGATTTTTTTTTTCTGTTCAAAGGTAAGAAAATATGAAGTAGGTAAGAGGGGAGTTATCCAGGTCTCAGAGTTTCATAAGGTTCACAGTTGTGGAAAGAGAAGATAGGCTTTGTCTGAGAGGAATCCTGAGTGTTGCATAATAAAACAACTCATCACATAGAAGAGGCATCCTGAACATCAGTTTGTTGTTTGCTGCCACCTGTGGTGCAAGATGGAAAGCGTTGTTTTTGCACATGAATAGTACTTCTTGTTTAATTATCACAGAAGTCTGCAATGTCTTGTGCTTGGTTTGTAAAGCTGGGTGATCTCATGTTCAGCTGCATGTGCAGGGTGAAGCATTTATCCAACACCACGCATTGTTCTTTCTGTAGCCTGTTGCAGTGGGTGTTCCCTGAGCTCCTGCCATGTGTGATAATGCAAAATGCATCAGTATGTCACATCTGGGGGTCTGTATGCCCTTTTGTGCATCCTCCCACTTGTCAAAGGTTACCCAATCAAAGCCAGGGGGGTCTATTATATAGAAAATAATACATGGAATCTAAAAGAGGGAACTGGGCTAAAAAGTGAAAACAAGAATCAATTGTTTCATTGTTACACAGACAGCGTACTCTTACTGATTCTTTGAAAGTACCAGTAAGTTCTTGCTACATATTACTTGAGTGCTGAACTAACCATCATGTTTCGCAGTGTGTTAATCGTAGATTAAGAGCTCGCAAATTAGTCTGGAGTTCTTAAAGGTCCAGCTAAATCTTTCCACCTTTATGGTATAGGGATGGCTACTTAGCATAAGTGATAACTCACCTAGATTTTTTAGACCTTCAAAACTTGCCATCTCTCATTTTATTCCAAAGTAAGAAAGTTAGTGTAGACACCGGAATTAAAAATTCATTAAAGAAAGGAAATGAGCTTACCAGTACTACAAACAGTAGTGTTGGCGCAACTTGAAGGAGTATTGAATTTTCACTACAGAGCAGAAATAATAAATGGCATGTCATGGAAGTAAAGAATGTGCTACTCTTAGATGAAGGCCCTCTTTGTCAAAAATGGTAGTTTGAGGAAAGTGGATATGTAGTGATACTGCCGATCTCTTGTATCTTTAGGTATTATCGCTCCTGTAGTATCAATTTAAATTCAAATTTCTCTTCATTTCTACTTTGGAAATCAGAAACAAGATTGTAGTTTTTAGGAGTTAACAGTATAGTTAACAACATGTTTTAAGAATTCTGTAGAAATGAGAAGTGACTCCACATGCTTTGGAGGGGTTGGTGATTCATTTTCACAGGATAGATTGTTTCTAAACCAGACCCGTTGCTAGGCGTTTGACATTTGCACAATTGTTCCAGAAAAAAAAGCTTATTATGCAAATAGTGCTTTATTTTGTGGGATTTTTTAATATATTTCCTTATGTTGGAGAGTAATTATTGATTCAGTGTAGAATCAATCTTCTTTATGTCAGTTTCTGTGTTCCATTTCCAAAATGCTTGTAGAAGAAGAAATACTCGCATGCATGGTTAACCTGTTAGGGTTTTTTGTATTTCATAAGCTTCTGAAATGATATTTTTTTTAGTAGCATTTTCCTTAATTATGTTAAGAAAATGACCTGCTGACTTGAGGATGTTTGCATGTTTTGCAACGTGAATGTAGATTTCTCTAACAGACATACACAGCTTAGGCTGGCTGCATCTGAAATAAAAATTCCATGGCAGAAATACATGCTCTGCTCTATTAGTGGCTGAGATAGCTGAATGTAGCCCCATCAAAGATGATTCACAGAATGCTTTAATATCTGATTAGCTCACATTGAAAAACTGATTCAGGGAATTATTTTTCCATATTTTGAAACAATGTATTTTGTGATTCCATTTCACTGTGGGTTTTATGTGGTACAAAAGCAAAATAGTGCTTAAGGCTAGAAGGGGAAAGTGACACTTGCCGTCTGAAAGTTGTCAAAGCAGCCAAAGCTAGCCTTGTAAGCAGTACTTGGTGACCAAGTGGAAACATTGTGCTGCCAGAATCTGTGTAGCTAGTGAAATACAGAAATACAGATTAGATGAACAATTTATTGTTATTAATTGAATGTTTAGTTGTCATTATTGAATAAAACACTTAATCATGCTAAAAAATAAGAATATTCTTGCTGGAATCTTCCAATGCCTTTTTGCTAGCAAGGTGCATTTCAGAGCAGTTATATGGGTGAAGATTGGATTTCTCTCACTTTTACTATACAAGGAGTGTATTTCTGGGACCTAACATGAATTTCTAGTGATCACAGTATCACAGTATCACAGTATGCTAGAGATTGGAAGGGACCTCAAAAGATCATCTAGTCCAATCCCCCTGCCGCAGGGGGGATAATGTTACACAGGAATGTGTCCAGGCGGGTTTTGAATGTCTCCAGGGAAGGAGACTCCACAACCTCCCTGGGCAGCCTGTTCCAGTGTTCCGTCACCCTCACTGAGAAGAAGTTTCTTCTCAAGTTTAAATGGAACCTCTTGTGTTCCAGTTTGTACCCATTACCCCTTGTCCTATCATTGTTTGCCACTGAGTAGAGCCTGGCTCCATCCTCGTGACACTCCCCCTTTATATATTTATAGACACTTATAAGGTCACCCCTCAGTCTCCTCTTCTCCAAACTATAGAGACCCAGCTCCCTCAGGCCTTCCTCATAAGGGAGATGCTCCACTCCCTTAATCATCTTAGTTGCCCTGCGTTGGACTCTCTCCAGCAGGTCCCTGTCCTTCTTGACCTGAGGGGCCCAGAACTGGACACAATATTCCAGATGCGGTCTCACCAGGGCAGAGTAGAGGGGAAGGAGGACCTCTCTCGACCTACTAACCACCCCCCTTCTAATACACCCCAGGATGCCATTGGCCTTCTTGGCCACAAGGGCACAGTGTTGGCTCATGGTCATCCTGTCGTCCACTAGGACCCCCAGGTCCCTCTCCCCTACACTGCTCTCTAACAGGTCGTTCCCCAACCTATACTGGAACCTGGGGTTGTTCCTGCCCAAATGCAGGACTCTACACTTTCCCTTGTTGTATTTCATCAAGTTATTCCCTGCTCAACTCTCCAGCCTGTGCAGGTCTCGCTGGATGGCAGCACAGCCTTCTGGCGTGTCAGCCATTCCTCCCAGCTTAGTGTCATCATCAAACTTGCTGATAGTACACTCAATTCCCTCATCTAAATCATTGATGAATATATTAAACAATACGGGTCCCAGTACTGACCCTTGAGGCACTCCACTAGTTACAGGCCTCCAACTAGACTCCCCCCCATAGACTATAACACTCTGGCTTCTCTCCTTCAGCCAGTTCACAGTCCACCTCACTACCTGATCATCCAGACCACACTTCCTCAATTTAGCTGTGAGGATGCTGTGGGAGACTGTGTCAGATGCTTTGCTGAAGTCAAGGTAGACCACATCCACCGCTCTGCCATCATCCATCCACCGTGTTATTTCCTCATAAAAGGCTATGAGATTGGTCAAGCATGACTTCCCCTTGGTGAAGCCATGTTGACTGCCCCTCATAACCCTCTTATCCTTGATATGCCTTAAGATAGGACGAAGGATGAGGTGTTCCATCACTTTCCCAGGGATGGAGGTGAGGCTGACCGGTCTATAGTTACCCGGGTCCTCCTTCTTGCCCTTTTTGAAGACTGGAGTGACATTTGCTTTCCTCCAGTCCTCAGGCACCCCTCCTGTTTCCCAAGACTTGGTAAAGATGATGGAGAGTGGTCTAGCAATGACTTCCGCCAGTTCCCTCAGCACCCGCGGGTGCATCCCATCTGGACCCATGGATTTATGGATGTCCAGATTGCTCAACTGGTCTCGAACCCATTCCTCATGTGATCTCACATGGATGACAGAATCATAGAATCATAGAATAGTTAGGGTTGGAAAGGGCTTTAACATCAGATGTTCTGCAGGACTTTCTCAGTTTGCCATGAATTTATAGCCCTTTAATACTGTGATTTGTTTGTTTTTCATTAGATTAGGATATCATTTTGTTACCTTCCTAGCAAAAACTTGCTGCTGCTTCTCAAAAGCAGTCCCATCTAAAATCATCAAAGCTACTTGCAAGCAACCCTTGACCCAGGAAAAGGCTTACGACTTTTTGTGTTATCATAGAATGCTGCATGTTAAGAAATAGCTTGATGTGCTGCATCTGTAACTTTTTTTTTAGCAAACCAGATCAATTTCTACAACTGTGTGTGTGCAAAATGTGTTACTTACACATTTAAAAATAATCATGGTTTCCAGTCTTAAATATTAATGTTGATGATCTTTGATGAAGGTCCTTTCCAACCCAAACTGTTCTATGATTCTATACATATGTGAGGACCTTTCAGATATATTCAGCTAGAAATTCCACTGTCTGAAATAAAATTTGTCTTAATACAGACTAAAGAGTTTGACATGAAGTATGTTTTTGTTGAATGCTGATGTCTGATATTCTTCCTTGTTATTCAGGTTAATTATTTTGTGTGAGATTTTTTCTTAGAAACAAATAGTGGAGTAAAACATGCTTAGATTTGGTCAAAAGGTGTGTATTTGCATAAGGACTGGTTGATTTGTTTATCAAATTTCTAAGGGGAGATAATCAGAACCGTATATCAAACCAGTAGGCAGACAGAGGGGTAGATACTATTATGGCATCCTATATGGCACCATTAAGGTAGGTATTTTTGCAGATGATGAATTGGTGTGGGGTTTTTTGTTTTTTAGCTTTTTTTTTTTTTTCAGTCTACCTAGAATCTACTCTCAGTATTTGGTGGCTGACATCCACTGATTACACACTTCTAATGAACACATTATATAGTAATTTCTTTTTGAGAAAGTCTGAGTAAAAGATAGTAATAAGCAATCAATGAAGTCTAGAACTTATTTGGCACCCAGTGTCTGTGCCTTTGTACCTATCAGTTGCACTATTTTTGCAATTCATAGTTGTAAACCTAGAAGTTATTCTAGTGGGTGTTATCCCACACAATGCTAAATAATATTTCATTTCATTAATTAGATTGAAATTAGATTACATTTCATCGTCATGGTGTATGGTGATTTAGAAATACGCTTTTTCGTCCTGTCCTGAAATCCTGTGTCAGCTCTGTTATCAGAGGATGCTCTGAAGTACTGAGGGTCATAGGTTAGCAGCCTCCTTCTTACTCGATTTGAGCTACCCCTCCTCTGTGCAGGATTATTCCATTAAAGATGTTTTATAAAATCCTCACTTGTGTCTAGAAATCCAGATGAGGCTGTGCCTTTCTATAATTAGATTACAGTGTGTTATGTTTTGTTTCTTCATTTTGGATGCTTAAAACAATGCTAAAATTAAGATGCCATGTTCTTCATGGAAGAGAAATGCCAGAGATTTAAAAGAACTCAGCTGTATTGTACATTTGGCTTCTACTTAACATAATGAGTACATAAGAAGTATTGATGGAGTGGAACAGAGCTTTCCTACCTCTGCTGATATACTTTTAGCATTGGAGCTAAAATTATCTCTAGGAATGTATTAAGTAGTAGATCCCCTTTTCTTCCTCATACAGTTTCACAGACCACTAGACTTTTCCTGGTGATTGCCAAAAAAAAAAAAAAATCTCATTTTGGATTTGCAAAATGTGTTTCAGAGGTCACAAGCCGTCTTGGTGTTTCATGTAAAAAATATTTATACTTTGATAGTCTTCATCAAAGTTACATACTTGCAGTTACTGCTCTTTATTTGTCTTCTCTGCAAAATCAGATTTTGTTCTTGTTCATGTAAAAAGATGTACTATTGCCTCTTGATTCTGATCAAGAATTATATGAATTGTTTGTTGTTGAGTTGCATGAGGTGAAGGAGAGGTAAGTGGCACAGCATGTCCTTCCTGGTTGCTACCGTTTTTTCTCCTTCACTTAGCATTGCTGTTATGTAAAATATTGAACACAGTTTCGTTATATTGCTGGATGTGATTGCAGACTGTTATAGTTCACCTTTGCATAATGACTTGAACTGTATTTCCTTTTAATGGGAGTATGTCAGACTTCATAATGATGTAACTGACTAGAAACTTATGATAGTACACATGCATGCAAGAAGAAAGGGAACTTGCCTACTCACAGAGGCAAAGTGGTTGGTAGAGCTAGAAGAGAAAGCTGTTTGGTTAAGTCATGCTTCAGAAATAAAACTGCCTAATAAAGATGTGTGATTTTTGCACCAAAATTCCATCCGCTGTTAATGAGATGGTGGTAGCAAATGCTTTTTTTGACACTTGAAAATTCTCAACGTATACTTTCTCAGTTATAAATAGGAGGTGGAGGAGAGGTAGAGAGTAGTGTAGGAAAAAATGCTGTGTAAAGTCTGGAACATGCATTAGCAGTGACTTTAAAGATGTTTGTAGTTCATAATTATATGGTGGAACTATTAATTGATTATTTGCTAGAAATAAAAAAAGTGCTCACTGGACATACATTCCTTGACTACAAAGTAACACTGGGTTACCTTTCAGCTGTGCATCCTTCATGCCCACTTGTAACAAGAGCATTGAGCTAATTTGGTAACTAGCACTTTGACTTATGTGGAGGTTTTGTTTATATTAATGTATGATAATATATATTAATATAGTTTTAATTATAATTTTAAAACATTTTGCTAACAAGATAAATTTGTGCTTTGAAGGACTGCTACTGAAGTTTTCAAAATAATGCTGTGTAATTCGTACTGTATGTGGTCTTCACTTGTTTTAGTACAGCCGTTTCTTCTTTGTTGATAGGTTCTAGAAAGTTTTAAGATCATGGATTACAGTCTGCTACTGGGAATCCACATACTGAACAGTAACATGAAGGAAAAAGAGGGAGAGAGTTCCCAGAGTGCATCGGATGCAAAGCGGCCCGGGGGGCAGAAAGTTCTCTATTCCACAGCCATGGAGTCTATACAGGGCCCTGGAAAGACGGGAGACTCTTTCACCACAGGGACAACAAACACGTAAGTGCCAGAATGTGCGCTTAAGGTTACTATTAAAACTTGCATGTTCTGTTTCTTCAGTCTGTGACACTTGGTATTAAAAGGCAAAACATTCAAGAGTACACTGCATTTCAGAAATTGAAAGAGTAAGCCTCCCTCCCCATTCCTTCCACACCCCCTACCCTCAAGAAAAAAAGCTGGACCCTCATGATCTGCTGCAGAGGAAATTAAAGTGTTGATTAGTAGCTTGTTCAGCTTTAAATACACAATGACAAATTTGGTTAATTCAGAGTGACTTATGTATGAACAAGGGCATTTGCTTATGAAAGAGGTATTATGAGACAGCTATTACAAGAATCTCAGGTATAATCTGATTTTAACTGGAAACAGTCTGATGAGCCATACTATTTATCAATATTGAAATGGAAATTCCTACAGTGGTTGTTTTCATCTCAAATTATTATACATGATAAGTAGAATTCTGTCATCCATCACTGAAGTGCGGTCATATCCATGTACAGTGGATACTTCCTAAGAACTGCTGCTTTCCTCTTGTTTTTCTACCTATCAAAAGTTGCAGTAGGAATTTAAGTATATAGAACAGTAGGTTTTGTATTGTTTCCTCTGGAATACATTCAGTGTTAGAGCGTTATGTTCACCATTCTCATTCTATGTATTCAGTCATTTGTTGTAATACGGGTTTAATTTCAAATTAAGGATTTCCTCTTCTGGTTCTCAAGTGAGCTGTCTAGGTAAATACAACTAATGATATAGAAACACGTGCTTAAATCTACAGCTAACAAATAGGAGAATTTTGATATTTAGCATTTGTAGAGAGTTTCCAGATGTTAAGAGCCCTAGAATATAAACTCGAGCTGAATTTCACTCGTTTTTTTCAGCATCACTCACTTTCACACAGAAGAATGCTCTTGTATGGTGGCAGAGGTGTTGCACAGGCAGTTTTGTGGGTGTTGGGTTTTGGTTTTGGTCCGGTTTTTTAACGGAAAGCCAAACCTGATTATATAGGTCATTGTGTCCTGGTTTCAGCTGGGATAGTAATTTTTCTCCTTCCTAGTAGCTGGGACAGTGCTGTGTTTTGGCTTTAGTCTGAGAACAATGCTGATAACACACCGATGTTTTAATTGTTGCTCAGTAGCGCTCAGTAGTGCTTACCCTTACCAAGGAGTTTTCAGTCTCTCATGCTCTGCCAGTGAGGAGGGGCACAAGGAGCCAGGGGCAAGCAGAGACAGGACACCTGACCTGAACTAGCCGAAGGGGTATTCCATACCACAGCATGTCATGCCCAGTATGTAAACTGGGGGGACTTGGCCAGCACGTGCTGATTGCTGCTGTTATTATTATATTTCACTTAAATTGTCCTTATCTCAACCCATGCATTTTACTTTCTTCTGATTCTCCTCCCCATCCTGCCCAGGGAGAGGAGCTGTCTGTTACTCAGTTGCCAGCTGGGCCTAAACCAGACACTGGGCCATACAAGTATGAGGATGAGAATGGATACTCAGCAGCAATAACTGCTGCTTGTATTGGATTGAATTTATAGTCATAGCTTCCAGGAAAGGCTGACAGAATATAGTTTCGTAAACCACTTAACACTTCTGAATGTCTGACCAGTTAACTGAGCTGGAGTTCATGGTAGTGAGATTTTACAGTAATTTAAACTCCCTTTGCATTTACATGATTTCCTTTGTGCTTAGAATAATGAAAACCATTTACCCCCTTTATATGTTTTTCCCCCCCCCCCCCCCCCCCCCAAAAGATTGAAAAGATGGTAGGCCTGTTTTGTCAGGGGAAGGGACTGCTGTGTGTTAATGGCAGAGTGGGGAGCTCTCACCTCTTTGGTAGCTGTTTCAGGTGTGTATTATTTGTTTCTCAAACTGTTAAAAAAGATTTGGAGGTATTGCATGTGTTGTGTCTTCTGTCTCCATTCTAGTTTCGTAGTGGATCCATCAATGTCAACAAAAGCTGCCAAACCAAAAATTGGATTTAATTTTTTGTTCCTAAAACAATGGTCCCTTTTTTCTAGATGATGGAGCAGGAAGAGTTTACAATAGACATTTACCATTGGATCTGAGATACTTTTGGTTTGATGTTTAAAATCAGTTGTATACTAAATGACCTACATCTGTCTGACTTCATACTGTAGCATCTAGGTTTAATGTTGTGCCTGTTTTTTTTAGGTTTTCACCTGGGTACAGTTCACGTACTAAATGATGATCCAGAGATACCTTAAAAGATAACCTATGTTTCTGTTGTTTCTCTCAGAATGGGAGGTATTCCAGCTAAAAGCCATAAAGAAGAAAAGCTGCTTCTATTTATGGGCATTATAGATATTCTCCAGTCTTACAGGTAAGATGAATTTCAGGTTTTAGTGTATAAGCTATTCTGAAATTACATACCAATGGGGAAATCTTACAAAGCAATTCTGATTTTGTGTTTATATGATTAGATTAATGAAGAAGCTGGAACATTCATGGAAAGCTCTTGTTTATGATGGGGTAAGTAGGTTTTCTTTTTTTTTTTTTTTAATTGCTGATATTTTAGCTAATGGAACTTTGACTTACATTGACCAGGAAAGAGCTAGCTTCTGTGTATTTGTAGTCTACCGTCACTGCATGGTTTGGCCTGTTGCTGAAATCTTTTAAGTCCGTTTCTCAATGCATGCTCTGATTTTATCTGTTGATCTTTAAAAAAGCAACCAAATGATCGTTTTGTCCTTCTAACTTATAAAGACAATGGCCACTTAGCAGGGCATTGATGAATCTGTAATGGAAAAATGTATATATAATGTGAAAAAAGCATTTCAGATGCTAGGACGATTTTGCAGACTATCGCTCTGCAATTCATAACTCACAATTTCATAAATGAAATATCTAAAGTTCTTGAACAATTAACCTTTAAAAAGGAAAAAATGTGTTGAGTTTCACTTCTTTTGAGTATGCATGAAATGTATGATACAGTTTATCTGAGATGTCCAACTTCTTTCCTGACAATTCATGTGTCATGTACTTATGGAAAATGTGACTGAGACCTTTTTCAATCTTACAGGATACTGTTTCAGTTCACAGACCAAGCTTTTATGCAGACAGATTTTTAAAGTTTATGAGTACAAGAGTTTTTAAGAAAGTTCAAGGTAAGACTTTTACTTGTTTATATATTTATATAATCATTACTTTATAATGCTCCTGTCCTGGCAATAGAAGAATCCTTTCTTCAATGTCATCTAGCAGTCACATTGCCAGAAGGTGAGTTTCTTCAGTGGAGCTAATGGGATTGTACTCAATAGTAAAATTACAGAGAATTATTTGCTATTTATTTTTTATCACATTACAGGCATCTGAAGGTAAAACAGGTTCCTGTATATTAGCATTGATATAAAGATAAATTTAATGATCTAATGCTATGTCCAGTCTTGCATCTTATTCATGGGAAATTGATTTTAGTATCTTTAATTTGCAGAAGATTATTACATACAATGTTTGAAAAGCATGTTTGAGAAGATAGGTATTCTTCCCTTTGATATGGATTTCTTATGTGCTTTGTCAAGGAAAATATCAGAAGTTGGATATTAATATAAAGTCCTTTGTCTTTTTCACACTCGCGTGTTTCTAGCCTTCCCCTCCTTTTCTCCGTTCTTAATTTCTAATTAATTTTCAAGGGTAAGCTACATATCGCTGTTAGCTACTTACACGGTATGGTGACTTGCCCTTGTCTGGATGGCAGGTGCTCACCAAAGCCACTCTATCACACCCCCTCCTCAACTGGATGGTGGGAGAAAAATACAACAAAAAGCTCATGGGTTTTGATAAGGACAAGGTGATTGCTCACCAATTACCGTCATAGGGAAAAGAGACTTAACTCAGGAAAATTAGTTTATTACCAATCAAATGAGAGTAGGGAAATAAGAAAGGAAACCATGTCTTCAAACATTTTCCCCCTACTTCTCTCTTTGTCCTGGACTCAACTTCACTCATGAATTCTCTACCTCCACCCCCTGGGCAGTGCAGGGGTACAGGGAATGGGGGTTGCAGTCAGTTCGTCACACATTGTCTCTGCAGCTCCTTCCTCCTCACTCTCTTTCTGTGCTCCAACATGGTGTCCCACCCATGGGAGACAGTCCTCCATGAGCTTCTCCAGTACAGATCCTTCCCTCTTCTTCATTAACTTCTCCAGCATGTGTCCTTTCCACAGGGTGCAGTCCTTCAGGAATAGACTGCTCCAGTGTGGGTCTCCCATGCGAACACAAGTCCTGCAGCAAACCTGCTACAGCGTTGGCTCCTCTCTCCACAGAGCCACAGGTTGTGCCAGGAGCTTGCTCCAGAATGGACTATCCACAGGGTCACAGCCTTCTTCAGGGTACATCCAATTGCTCTGCGATGGGGTCCTTTTGTGGGCTGTAGGTGGATATCTGCTTCACCGTGGACTTCCATGGGCTGCGGGGGCACAGCCTGCCTCACCATGGTCGGCACCACGTGCTGCAGGGGGATCTCTGCTCTGGTGCTTTCCTCTTCCCCCTCCTCCTTCATGGATCTTGGTGTCTACAGGGCTGCTTCTCTCACATATTCTCACTCCTCTCTTCTGGCTGCTGTTGTGCAGCACTTTCCCCTTCTCAGATCTGTTACTCCCGAGGTGCTGGTGAGTCTGAGCTGATGAACTCAGCCTTGGTCAGCAGTGAGTCCACCCTGAAACTGTCTGACATTGGCTCTGTTGGACATGGGGGAGGCTTCTAGCAGCTTCTCACAGAAGCCACACCTGGAGCTACCCTGCTACCAAAACCTTGCCACACAAACCCTTTCCCAACACAGGGGAAGGAAAAAAAGCCAAGAGAAACCCACCCTCACTACAGAGGGATATCTCTACGAAAGGATTAAGTTCAAGTCTTGCAGCAATAATTTAACTATTGATTGTTGTTTCTCTCAAATAAAATGAATTTATTTCTGTAACTGAAAAATGTAGATCATCTTAAGACATCGGGGACAGAGGGTGAATTGATCCTACATAGGTGAGTTTTTCTTGTATGTTGTGGTTTAACACCAGTGAGCAACTAAGCCCTACACAGACAATCACTCACTCCCACCCCAATTGGATGGTGAAGAGAATGAGGAGGGTAAATGTGATTATCTCAGTCTCTTGGATTGAGATAAAGAGAGTTTAATAGGGAAAGCAAAAGTTGCGTGTTGCAAGCAAAGCAAAGTAAGGAATTCATCCACTACCCATCAGCTGACAGCTGTTCAGCCATATCCAAGAAAGCAGGGCTCTCTCACATGTAATGGTTGCCCACAAAGACAAATGCCATAACCATGAATGTTTCCTCTTTGCTCCTGTTCATCCCATCTTTTATTGCACTGCATGATGCCATACGGTGTGGGAGATATCCCTCTGGTCAGTTGGGGTCAGCTGTCCCAGCTGTATCCCCTCCCAACTCCTCCTGCATCCCTAGCCCTCCTCACTGGCAGCTTACTGTGAGAAGGCCTTGGTGCTGTCTAAGCACTGGGCAGCAATAACTAAACTTTTCTGTGCTACCAATGCTGTTTTGGTCACGAATCTAAAACACAGCACCATAGAGCTACTATGAAGAAAATCAGCTTTATCCCAGCCAAAGCGAGTGCTGTGTACATTCCAAAGTGTCCAAACACAGCATAACAACCATGTATGAAGTTGCGTAAGAAGTCAGATTTCAGCAAAAACATTTGAGAAATAGCAATCGCATTTTGTTTCTTGATTCCAAACTGAAAAGAACAAATTAATGTTGCCTTAGTCCAATGGAGTAAGCAGTATAGATATTTTCATAATATGGGTACAGCTGTGAAGCAAAACAACAGAATTTGCAAGTATTAAGGAACAGATTTATTTTTGGACTTGCTGCATTTAGCCTGACTTTGAAAATGAACAGGGGAAATAAGCTATCATTCAGGAATTCACATCTTGAAATAAGCTCATGTTCATATCTACTTTGAATTATAGTTCCTCCAGGTGTGATAAGTATATTCTTATTACAAAATCAAAAGAAAATAAAAATCAGAAGATTAGAGACCCATCTTCTTACAGGCTTCTTCCATCAAAAGTTCGGATCAGGTTTTATTTTCATTAAAATTTCGACCACTGGAAGTCAGCGTCTGATGTAATATGAAGCAAAATTCAGCTAAAAGGAGGAAGGCACCTCTTGAGACTCAGGTGTCTTTGAACCCTTGAACAAATTTAGCGGGAGCTGTGCTGTCTGAGACAATATTCAAAGAAAGTCCTCTGCACAGATAGAGAGCAAGGAGCAGACAACCTGATACTTCCATCTGTTGGACAAAATAAATGTCTCATGCAGCCATATATCCTTGCTAAACATTTGAGTCTTTTTTCAATTCTTTCTAATTTTGACTGCTAGATTTATGTCACAAGACACAATTTATCTTATATTTGAAAGCACAATGTGCAATTAAGAACATCATGCCTCATTTTCTCTCTAATCTTAATTTGTCTGTCTCATTTTTCCAGGATATTAATCTGCCATAATACCTCACTCTTACTGATCTGCTCTGCATACAAGGCTGTTAATCTACTTCAATATAGCTATATTAAAGGTTCAAATGCATTATAATTTTTTTTGTGAAATAAAGAATTGGAAGTCTTCCTGGTTCTAAATTTCAATTAGATATTTCAGTTTAAACTCTTAAGCCCTGTTCTGAATCTGTGCTTCTTCCCCCTGTGCACAGAACAAGCCTCCATAAATAACAATAAAAACATAATAATCAGATTCAGCCTTGGGCAGAGGCTAGGTCAGCCGCTATCTACTATGTTATTTTTTAACATTATCCTGGAGCTATGCATCTGATTCTCTTCTTCAGTCTTTAGCCAAGTAGCTTTGATGCTTTTAGTTTGAATTCTGTAATAGAGCACAGTATGTACTACTGCAGTGCATTTGAAGTAACTTTGCAGCCAATGCATGGAGGTCAGCAGCTGGCAACTGGAAAACACTAAATGAACTGGCTGGCATCTGTAAGAACTACTACAAATGGGGGTCATGGTTCATTAGTAGTAGAAATGGTCAGATCCTAAAGTTTCACCCAAAATGCCATTGTAAGTAGGTAGGCATTGATAAGAATTATAAAGGGGATGCCCATACATGAGTGTACAAGCCATCAACATTTTAGAAGTGTTTATTGTACCCAAAGATGTTTGCCATGTCACTGAAGTAGAAATTCTGCAGTAACACATACATCATTATAATAGCAGTTGTTTGCAGCTTAAGAAAATGATTATAACGTCTCAGAATACTCCAAATGTCTTTTCAGGTTTTTTTTATGTATCATTCTGTCTCTGGGTTGATACTTCACAGCTTTGTAACTCGGTGATTAGCAAAGGCAGTTAACTGACATGATTTTTTTTTTCTCCTTTTTTTTTTTTCTTTTTTTTTTTCTGTTAGCAGTAAGGAACCCCAGAAAGACAAAAATACTTCACTCACAGATGACATAATGCCTTTGGCTCTTGTTTTAATATAATGTTGAATAATTTGGTTTCTATCAGGATGTGTTCTTCGTGTGTATTCAAAAAGTCTAGCTTTATAGATGGCTTGCTTTTCTATAAGGTGTTAAAGATGTTCATTTGGTAATGTAGCTTTAAAGTCTTCACCTTCAAAGAAGCGGTGCAATTCCATCATGGCTCTGAAGGCAACATCACAAGAAATAGTGTGTGCAGTTAGCCAGGAGTGGAAGGATGAAAAGCATGGCATTCTTGCTGAAGGACAAAGCTATGCCAGCCTTGATGAAGAAGGTAATGTGTTTCAAATCAACGGCCTAACCAATGTTTTTAAAGGAATTTTGTATAAACTGTAGAAGCCCTGTAAGCTTCCAATCCAGCTCATCTTTCAAAACTTCAGTCAGGTTATTCTCATGAAGACAGTTGTTAAGTCATATGGCAGAGTGGACCTTCAGGAGCAAGAAGAGGTCAGAATCAAGGTTATAGCATGATGTTAATCTTTTGGGGGATCCTAAAAGAATTTATCCACCCTAGGTTAGCAGATTAAGGCCAGAGCCAGTGCTATTCTTCTCATTAGCTTTTAAACAAGCACATCATGTGAAATGTTTTGAAGCTGAGGTCATTGTTCCTAGAGTCTTTTTGAGGAGATACAGTCTTTGAACTTTCAGAGCTCATCTGCAGCCAGGCTCAAAGGAGAGCCAGCTGCATAACCCCATCTGAGAACTGGGCCCTGGTAGTGTGAAACCAATCACAGAACCTAGATTTCATCAGATATTCACACTACTTTAATACTTTTAATATTTGACCTTGGGGTTGCTCTGTATCCTGCTGAATGTACTGGCTAAAAGACTGTGGGTGTGGCCATATGAATATTACAATCGCATCAGTTTAAACATTATAAGACGCTCCAGAAAGCTGTTGAGACAGCTTGAGACTACGAGATGCCACACACTTGCATAAAGATTCTTGGATTCAATTTGAAATGAAGTTTTTAATGCTGTTCTTTATTTTTGTGTGTGCAGTACTAGGTTCGCACCGCCGGCCAGATCTGGTGCCAAGCGCTCAATCTCTGTTTGAAGCGACTTCCCTGGCAACCACAATTTCTTCTTCTTCCTTGAACGTAGATGAGCATTGTCAACATGATCAACCTATGCTCCATTGTAGCAGGTAAAGGCTGTATATGTGGTAGTTGATTCACCACTATTTTGCTAAGTCTGACCATGTGTGTAATGGTAGAGGCTCTGTGAAAGAAAAAGCAGAAGGGTCAAGTGCCTCTGTAGCTCATTCTTGAACCTCTCCAGTGAAGGAAGGGTTGTATAAGCCCATGGGATTTGTTATGTATTTGTTATGCGTTATGACTGAGGTCACAGATTTGAAAACATAAGCACAACAGAAAATGTTAATAGTATGCTTCATATTTTTTGTCATGTTCCAAAGCTAATCTGGGTACTAAAAACTTGCTTAGTCTGTGCCACAAACCAAACGAGACATTAAGATCAGAGTAGGAAATACTTACTGTAACTTGTCTGTAGCTGAAAACAGCTTCAGAAAGCTATGATGTGCTAGGGAAAGAGACCTACTTTCAAGTTGATCTTTATTCTGAATGTATAGTGCTGAATGCTCTGCTTTAAGTTATTTCAAAATGACCATTTTCTAAAATGAATTTCTATGAAACATGGCCATGTAGTGACAGGACAAGGAGGAATGGCTTTACACTGACAGAGGGGAGATTAGATATTAGGAAAAAAATTCTTTGCAATAAGGTTGGTGAGGCACTGGAACAGATTGCCCAGGGAACTTGTGTGTGCTCTAGTCCTGACAGTGGTGGACAGGGCCTTGGGCAGCATGGTCTAGTGGAAGACGTCCCTGCCCATGGCAGGGAGTTGGAACTAGATGAGCTTTAAGGTCTCTTCCAACCCAAACCATTCTATGAAACTTCACTCATCGGTGTGATTAGCGCCTGTCTGATTTTGATCTGGGAAGATTAAACCCAAGAAAATCTCAACACAAGTTGTGCAGATGCTTATGAACTAGACGACTACAATTTGACTTGTGTTTGAATATACTTTAGCCATGACAGTCCAAAACCATGCTTATACCAGTAAGTCTCGCTGGGAGATTGTCTGGGTGTATGCCTGTACTTTACCGTGCACACCTGAAATGTGCTGTGTCGTGTCATCTTGCCTGCTTGCAGATCTCTTTACCATGTTGGTAAAGAGACCATGGCTGCTGGACAGCCATTTCTTTGTGTGTTTTTGTCAAGAAGGAAACCATTGTGAACTCAAGTACCTTGAATTTTGTTTTAAATAATCTGGAATCCTAAACTACACAGTGTGTATATAAATTTGATGGACTTACCCATGTGCTGAGTTCTTTACTGTAAACTGCATGTTGTCCAAAATCATCAAGTTGCTTTAAAAGCAGTCTTGAGGCAGTAGTATTTTACCTTATGTTTAAATTTGACCATCTGCATTTTTATAAGAGGTAAATTGACTTGTAGAGTTGCTTGATCAAAGTAATATTTGCAGCTTCCAGTTTCATTAAGTTGAAATGAGTCTCACTTATGTGGCATCTTCCATAGGTCTGATGTTTTGCTATAAAAATTTGGAATGAGGTATGGTTTGGGGTGTAATGAAGTTTTAATTACACAACCATCACAAGTTGTTCCAAAACGCATCTATATAGGCTTTAGGTAATAAAATTACTAATGAATATACATAAGTAGAAATACAGCTCCTTCAATTCAGCTTCTGTCAGTCTTGTCCAGTTTGTGGCAAAGTTAGCTGCAGGACTTCAGTATTCTATGGTCTTTTACCAACTTTTAGCTTCACTAGAAGTAGTTATAGAGTACTGGGTTTTTTTATTTGCTTTGAGCACCAAACAGAATTACAGAACTACTTTGTATTAGCACTGTCAGCAAAGGAGAACTGTGGAGTTGTCTGGGTAGAGTTCAGATTTACTGCAAATAAAACATTTCAAGTACTCTATTATATTTTCCTGTAAAATTATTAAAAAATAATTCTAAAATTAATAAGGTTTTTTTGTAGATCTGTATTTTGGTTGTATGTTTAGACTCACTTTCCAGCTGTGGTTCAGTCAATGAAATAACCTAAAATGTAGTATGCATTTTCAGTTACGCAATTAACCCTGCACATCCTTATCTTACAAAAATCAGATTGTACCTGTATTGTCTGCAGTCCAGGTTTGCATACTGGAAATTAATCAGTAAAACAGGACACGTGCTCTAACACAGCAGACCTTGCACCAGCATTCATAGATCGTGGAGTCATAGCTTAGCTTTAGAATGGACCTTAAATGTCATCCACAACTTCTCTGGGCAACCTGTGCCAGTATCTCACCACTGTCACAGTGAAGATTTTTTTTCCCGGTATCTAATCCACGTCCTCCCCTCTTTCAGTTTAAAACCATTCCCCCTCATCCTGTCACTACATGCCCTTGTAAAAAGTCCCTCTCCAGCTTTCTTTTAGGCCCTCTTTTAAGTACTGGAAGCTGCTCTAAGGTCTCCCTGGAGCCTTCTGTTCTCCAGGCTGAACAAACCCAATTCTCTCAGCCTGTCTTCATAGGACAGGTGCTCCAGCCTCCTGATCATCTTCATGACTCTCTTCTGGACTCACTGGAGCAGGTCCTTATCGTCCTTGTGTTGGGCGCCCTGGAGCTGAATGCAGTACTGCATGTGGAGGTCTCACAAGAGCAGAGGGAGAAAATTACCTCCTTCAATCTGCTGGTCACGCTCCTTTAATGCATATGTCCACCATACAGGTGGCTCTTTCTGTGTCTTGTGTGAAAAAAAAAGACCTTTAGTAATCAGGAATTCTGCCACGGGGGTTGACCAACTAACATCCTTGCTTGTCTAGGTGTATCCTCTTCAGCTTTTCTTCTTACCAAGTACTGGTTTGTGTCACAATATCGGTATGTACGAGTCATGAAGATTACCTTCCCTGTCATAGTTAATGGCTTTCATTTAGGATTTGAGAAAGCTGCTAAGCATGCTCAGTATTTAAATAATTTCCCAAAGATTATTCTGGATGTTTGCAGTTTTGTACCCACCTCTGCTTCTGCATCAGTACAACATGGTTCTTCCCTCTTCATGACACTAAATAATATATCCAGCTGAAGTTTTATTTATGTTTTTATGGTACATTGGAGAAACTTCAGTCCTCCCATGAGAAAAGTTGGTAGGGAAATAAAAATGCTAAAAAACCTCTGAACCATCTTAGATTTTTCTTACTGGAATTTTGCTTTTGAGTATTACAAATACTGCGATGCAGGACTCATCACTTTGCCATTTGTCTCTGATGAACAGAAAGCCGGGAGGAGTCTTTGAAACAAAGCATGAATAAATTATTTGTTCACAAATGTGAGCCCGCTTTCAGTCTTTAAATACGTAATTAACTATGACATTCTGCTTCAAGTTATTTAATAGAATTAGTTTGGCATAATCTTCATTGGGCTTTTTCTTCTCTTTCAAAGTCTCCTGGCATAAGGTAGAGAGTATACAAATTTCTTGTAACCAGTCAGAAACCTCTGGCTTAGGGTACTAAAGGAAGATAATCCTGCATGCAAAGTAATAATACAGTATCTGCACAGCTCCTTGATTCCTATTAATGTTAATGAGCTGTGTGTGCATATGCCAGTGAGAGGACTTGTTAAAAAGAGAACAATAATACTTTTGGGTACTTTTAAGCAGATGCATTATGTTTAACTTTGGGTTTTTTTTTTGCAATTACCCTCTGTTTCTACCAACCATGAAGGTAACCATGCTTCAAGGAGGGGGAAATGGCATTTTATGAGAGAAAAGAGCTCAGCACCATCTCTCCTTGAGAGTGCTCTGCGCTTGTGGTATGAAGCAAGGAACTGCTACCAACATGGTTAAGCAGACAGAGGTGTTGCTGAGTCAGAGACAGTTCCTGAGGCTGTATCACGCAGGGAGGGTTGATACATCAGGGATTATTTTTATAGCAGCAGTGATAACAGATTTTTACCCTCTCGGGGTAAAGTTTTTCTAGTAAGTACTCATGAATTAAAGATGACAGATCTGAATGTCCTGAGCAGTATGCCTGTTGTCTCAGCTGACATTGCTTTTACAATTGCAAAGAGCTGAAGGAGGTGAATGCTTTACAGGTGCATCTGGAAATGTTTTAAACTAGAGTTTCAAGATTCAACAGAAGTCTCTCTCCAATATATCTTTCAGCAGGTCTCATGGCTTCCAGTCACAAATCCAAACAAAATCCCATGATGCATAAAGGGGTAGTTCACTTCTCTATCTTTAGAGTAACCAGTGCGGGTTATAGAAAGGGGACTGATGAGTTCTTCTGATACATTTAAGCCTAGGAAAATAATATTTATGAAATCTGATTCTTGTTTATGTACTGTTTATCTCCATTCTGTAAGACGTTACAGACTTCTGCTTTCTCTTTCCTATTCTTTCTGCTTTTCTGTATATTTTTTAATTATTTGTTGCCATACTGTCGTCGTTTAAGCCCAGCAGGCAACCCAGAGCCACGCAGCCGCTCGTTCACTCCCCCGCCTTTTTCCCCCCACACTCCTTTGCACTGCTGTTTTTCAGCGGATATCACTTGCAACTTTGGAAGGCTTTGAGTTGTTTTTTTTTTTTCTCTTACACAGACAAAACTTCCTGAAATGCCCAGACTTTGAACTGAAATGTCCCGTGACTTGCGTTCTATCAAACAAACTTTTCAAAGACAGCTTAGAAAATACACATAAAAATTTGTGCTCTTTTTCTCAGTAGAAGGGATTTGTAGGTATTAGTTTTTCTGTTGTAAGGAATACTTAATCACACCTCTTGCCAGTCTGGTTTTCCACAAAATTTTTTGTGTCAAGCTTAAACGTCTCTGCCTATCTACCACCACCACCCTTAGCTTATGAAACTTAGACAAATTTGTCTGAACATGATTCAAAGTGGATTAAAATATGGATAAAATTGGATTAAATTCATGCAAGCTTCATGAAAATAAACAGCTAGGGAGAGGACTTGAATGCTCTCATGCTAGCAGATACACTGAGGCACTGGGGAAGTCCCCATGGGGAAAGAAGATTTTACTGTGATTGAAGTAACCTGTAGTTGTGGCTTAAAGAAAAACAAGGCTTTCACAGTTCTTCTATGATGGAATTACTTTTGCATCCTTTCTACTTTTTTAATTAAGGACCAAGGTAAGATAAAATAGACTGCTTCAGCAAGAGGAGGGCAACAGCACAGTTGAGCATATTCATTGTGGGTGATCTTTTTTTTTCTTAGCTTTTTTTTCTTTTTCAGTCTAAAAATTAAGGATGAGAACTCAGCCCACTGAGTCATGACTGTTGGTCATGGTAAAATTGACGTGCTTACTGTGATCCTTACTGATTCACGTGTCATGGTTTTCCATTACAGGGAATGTAGTAGCACAGATTCACTGTCAGACTCCTTCAATTGAAGCAGCATTTAGAAGATGAGACGTATCTGTTCTCTCAGGCCTGTGGTTTTAATGTTTCTCAACAGTGTTAGTGAAATATTACAAGGGAGTTTTACTATGTTTGACCTATTTTTTTTTTCTTTTAGACATATATAACTTATGAAATGCTTTAGAAGTCATAATACTTCAACATTGTAAACAATGGACTAATGCATTTAGTTCAAAAGGTCCATTAATACCTGTTCTCCCTGTTCACATTTTCATGTATGCAGAACAAATTTTCTGCAACAGTTGATATTGAATTGTACCTTAGAACAATAGTTTTACTGCTCATTTGTCCTGAAAGACATTTTTCTGACTTCTATATGGAGAGATTTCAAAGATCAAAACTCATGATGCAATGAGCTGATAATTTCTTTCAAAAGTTTATATAAGAGTTTTCAAAGACACTGGACTTTGCAAATGTGCTGCTCTTTAGGGGATAAATATTCTACGGGATATGCTGTAGGAGAGCATATTTGACATCGAAAGTTAGACATCAAAGCCTGTTTTTATTGCAACTCTTCACAACCAGGGAGACACAGTGGCTTATTCTAATTCATGGCTGTTGTATTTTGGCACTCTCTGAAAAAACAGCTGATAATTATATTCTGCAAGAGCTGTTCTTCACACTGCAGGAGGGGAAGAAAAAAAACAAAAAAACAAACCAAACCAAGCCCACAAAACAGCCCACAATGAACAACTAAATCCAAAACACACATCAAACTTCTGCATCGGTCAGTTGTTACTACTTGGCACTGTTTCTGCCGTTCTTCAAAGGCTGTGCAATGACTTGGAAAGGAGACTGAAGTGTTCTACCTGTCCTGCAGGCTGCCTCGCAAGTAGACACATTAGGATGAGGCATATTTGTTTTTCCATGGAGAAAACACTTCCCAAAGTGGACAGTTTTCTTTTAAATAGAGAAAAACTATGCTGTTACTGAGCTTAAGGTTCAGTATGTAAGAAAGCTCTGTCTTGCAACAGTTTTCTTACAGTTTTCCTTTTAATAATTCTTCATGCAGATGAGTCTTCCTTACTTGCAGAATTCATCCCTAATTATTCAGTGTGAAAGTCACAGCAGCAAGGAGATTGCTATCTGCAAATAAGTTGTGGATCTTTGACTGTAAGAAAAAAGGTGGATTGATACCTGTTTTGTTTCATTCTTTTCTTTCCTCCCTACTGTTGTTCAAGGCACTTTAGCCACTGCTGGTTTTCTATATGTAAGATTAATATACCTTTGTACTTTCTTTTGTCCCCTTTCTCCCATTTATTTCTGTATGTTAATATACATTTTTTATATATTATTTGTTTCTATTTATTAATCTCTTCGTTAGGAAGTTTATTAGTAAATAGCCAAATTGTGATATTTATAGGAGCTTCTCTTTGACTTCTATTAACATGGTGGATTTGTTTCAACCCTCATTTTCTGCCTGACTGTATATTGTATTTCTGTAACAGTTGAGGGGAGAAAAAAGCGTCATATTGCAAAGGGGAGATGATAACTTTCTTTATCCTATGTTATAACTAAAAACCAGTAGTTTAAGAATCCCAAAACCAAGTGCTGAGTTCACATTGCTATTGTTTGCTATCCACAACAGGCTGTGAAACAACACAGATTATAATTTAACAAACTAAGAGCAAAAAGAAGCACAGTGCCTTCTAATGGAAAAGTAGAGAAGAGAGAAAGAAAAGTAAATAATAATAGAAGGACTAGGTCTTACTCTTCGGATACGAGCAGGATATAAAACTTAAAATGCCACTAGTGTTAACTGAAGGATCCTCACCTCGTCTTGAGTACAGGTTCCAGAGGTTTTCTGGATGTGAAAGAAGTTATCTATAACAGCAGTAAAGGTGACAGTGATGTGGCTGGATATGTATCTGAAAGGAATAACTATTTCAATATTTTTTGCTTCTAAACTAAACTTGATACAGAAACGAAAGCCAGGTATACATCACAGCCTGCTCAACTTGCTTTACAGTTAGTAGTGCAGAGCACTGTTTTCCACAAGGAAGGGCTAATCACTGGTTTGCATGTTTTTATAGCAGTAGTGTCTGCTCACTGCACATTTGTGTCATGTTGTTTTCATATACAGGCCTTTGCACATTCAGAGGCCTGAACTGTGCAACAGCAAAGATCAAAATTCCGCAAGCAGAAGTGACTCTCCTCCCCTCACCCTCCCCTTTTGCCAGGAGTAGTATCTTTGGTGACAGAGCTTATTTTGTGATAAAACATAGTCTCACTATAGCAACAGCGCATTTATTCCCTTCCTGTCTGTCCTCTCCCCTTCAGTAAAACAAAGCATTGGCAAAAAAACTGATGTGACTGAAAAGTTACTTAATAGGATATTAGTAATGAATGTGAGAAAAATAAGACCAAGTTAATGATACCTGAGTCACCCTCGGGACAAAAGCAATAGTCTTACAACTGAAAAGATGCCTAACACACTATATATTAAAAAGAACACTGTAATGTGGCAAAGGTAATATGACATGAGGGTGACTGATGATTCATTATTTTGTTGAGTATTTGAATTTTTCTACTTTGAATACTAGCTTTGCCCTTTCTGAAATTATACCCCAGCTAAAACATAAACTACAAAGCATTGCAAAGGGAGGGGGAAATCAGTCATTTCTGGACTGATGGCTGTAACTATGTTTTCGTACCCAGTTATACTGCAGAATTGTTTGCTTTTCACCTTGTGTGTAAATAGGTAAGAAAATCTATCTGCAAAAATTACAGCTGAGTTTTCAAGGCAGCCTGGAGTCTGTTAGTTTCTGGCAGCTAGTGAGGACAAGGGGTAACAGGCACCTCAATCTATTAAAACACAGCTTTGTGATTCCAGGTGTGTTTACAAAATAAAGCAAGATTCCTGTGCCCTTTCACATTCTTTCTGGATAGCAGATAACAATCAAATCTATGAATGAAATAATACAGCGCACCTGCTCTGTAAACACTACTTCCTTGCAGAGCTGTAGTAATTACAGTACACTCCCATTCTTCTCCCACTTTCCCTTTAGAACTGTTGTATGCTAATGATACCATATCTGCATGAGAAAGTCCAATGCTACTCTGCTAATTACTGAGTTTTTCCCCCTATTTTGTATTAAGAAATGTTGCCAGAATTTAGATAATGTGTAATGCAGAAGTAACTTATTTTGGAATTAATGAAATTATCCCACATTTACTGTGACATGATTTCGTTCTTTAAATAAGTATCAGAGTTCAGGAACAGCATTGCTTCCTGGTAAAACTTTAGTTAATGAAAAGATAGAAACTGTGGCTTGTGTATGTTAATCAAATATGAGCTGCCAATTATCTAGCCATTGTCAACATATCCATACTTGTCCATTTACATTCTTTCTTTTCAAGTATTCAAAGCTTTTACTTTTGAGAGAAACTTAATTTAAAATTTTCAGCTATGACTGAGCTCTCTGTAACTTGTATTTTGGTTCACTATAGTCTCCCTTTTCTTTGCAGTAAGGGCTCTTTGCCTTCGAGTTCAACGTTCACTTTAGAAGACAGTGCCATCTGTTTGACTTCAGAACAGAGCACACTGGAAACGGAAAATGATAATGCTTCAGTTCTGGATGTCTACTTAGTAAGTTGTCAAACTGTTTCTAATGAGCTTTTTTCCCTGTAATTCCTTTGACTGTAGCTCAGCAGGTGACTACAGTACATGCTTCACTTCAAGATGCAAGGTTTCATTGAGGTATTTATTAAATGGGACATATGCCTGAGTACCTTGCCAAAGCAAATCCTAAAGAATCTATGTGCCTATTAATTGTGTTAATAATGAAGTATGCCAAAATGCCCTTCAGTTTTTCTTTAGTGGTAGGATTTTTTTTCCTGTTACTTGTTTTACATAGGACAGGGAAAAAAAATAAAAAGGAAACAAAGAAAAGAAAAATCTTTCCATGTTGAATATTCCAATATTCCACAATGTAGAAATTAATTTTTTTCAGAGAGTGAAGTTCTGTGTTTATATCCCTGATTTTAAAGCCAGTGAAGTAGAGCTCAGTATGAAGTACATTAATGGCTCCCCTTTCTGCTGTGAAGGGTTGTCCAGTTGTGGTAGCTGGAATATGATTAAAAATGTATATTTTATGGTTTGGTTTCTAGTGAGCAGTTTATGTGACTGCTGAAAGATAAGTCTACATCTTTGTTTGTCTTTATATCACCCATGTTTTATAAATTCCCTTAGTATCTACAGTTCACATTCCACAGGTACTAAGGATGTAGGCACCCAACTTGCGTTCCAGTTGAGGGAAGTTTTGTGCATCTGACCTTTTTAGGCCATTTTGAAAATCTCAATAAATATGGGAGGGAGAGATGTTAAGGTGTTTTCATGAAGGTTTGGTTTCCTAAAGCACAAATTGAACATTCTGATATAATCCTAGTAATATTTTCCCTCTATTTTCATAAATAGATGTCTGTGACTTTTGTGGCAAGAACTGTACTAGAGAGGAAGGGTCAAAAAGGAAAGTCTGTTCATTAGGTTAATGATAAATGTTTTGTGCAGGCCTGGTTATATAATGAAAAGTAACTTGCGTATTTTCAATCACTTCACTAATCCTTTGATGTCCTTGCCTCCTGCTTGTTGGACAAATTTTAGTCCTCTAGTAAATTAAGAGCTATGAATTTTTGATCCCATGAATGAATGAAAAAAATCCCAAACCATGTAGTAAAATAGCAGTGTTAAGTAAGTAAGTTAACTTACTATTAAGAAAAAAAAAAAAAAAGAAGAAAAATGGATTTTTTTTTTTTTTTTTTTTGAAGAGTGCTGGGTTGAAATTCAGACAATCAAGTAAGGTAGGGTGGAGCAGAGACTGTAAAAAGTAGTTCTAACAGGTAAGAAAGAGCATTGGGTTCGGGGTGTTACATTAAGGGATGTCCTGGGTTCAGCAGCAGCAGTCATTTTTCTCCTTCTTTGTAGCTGGTGCAGTGCTGTGGTTTTGACTTTCAGCCTGGGAACAATGCTGATAACACCAATATTTTTAGTTGTTGCTCAGTAATGTTTACTCTGACCAAGGACCTTCTGAGTCTCATGCTCTGTCAGGGAGGAGGGGAAGACGGAAGGAAGCAGGGACAGGACACCTGACCCAAACTAACTAAAGAGGTATTCCACACCACAGCACGTCATGCCCAGTATACAAACTGGGGGCAGTTACCTGGAAGGGCTAGATCGCTGCTCGGTCGGGCTGGATATTGGTCGGCAGGTGGTGAGCGGTTGTATTCTCTTCCCTTGTTACTTCCCTTATCATTATCATTATTGGTGGCAGCAGTAGTGGTTTGTGTTATACCTTAGTTACTGGACTGTTCTTATCTCAACCCATGGGACTTACGTTCTTTTGATTCTCCTCCCCATCCCTCCAGGAGCTGGGGGAGGAAGAGGGGGGAAGTGAGCTAGCAGCTGCGTGGTTCTGATTTACTGGCTGGGCTTAAACCGCAACAAGGGAACACTGTGCAAAGTCACACTGTGCAGCTAATGTCAAATTTGAGATTTTACCTGGTAATAGCAGTAATTTTTGTTCCAGGACACCGGTCCAGAGACATCTTGAGTTTGCAACTGCAGGGGTGGTCTGGGCCCAGAGTTTCTCAGTTCTGAACAAAGACCAGGTTCGGCAAACCAGCATTTTGTGAACCTGCCACTCTAAGTAGCACTGTTAGGAACATCCTCAAATCCAAGTTTACTTTAAGATTCCATTGGTTTATTTTCTCATCAATCTTTTAACCCAAATAATAACTTAAGAAATCTAGCTTTTATCAATAAAATATGACTAACCATGATCTGCACTGAGCACTAAGTATAAGCCAATCTAAATTATTCCCAAATATTCTAGCACCATACAATGAGAAACAAAAATTGAATATTCCATAAAAATACTTTTCATTTTTAATTAAAAAATGCAGCAAGATAGAAGCAGATACGTAAAGTAGTTGGAAATTTGCAGTGTTGCTCTGCAGAGAATGAAAACATTAAAGGGTTCTTCGTTTATGACTGTGTAATACAATGATAGATGAGGTACTTAGAGTAAAAGATGTAATCTGAGGTAAAGTGTCCTGTATGTAAGCCAGCAATAGAGAAGGTAATGTTCTTCTGATTAGTATTTAGCATTTTCATGTAGAAATCCACAAAAAAAAAACCAAACATACAATCCCCTGCAACAAACACATACAAAAAAAAAACCAAAAAAACAAAAAGCCACCCCCCCAAAAAAAAAAAAAAACAACCAAAAAAAAACCAACCCAAAACCCTGAAAACCAAAACATCACAAAAAAAGACAGAGTAAACTAAAATTTCCTTCTTCCTCTGGAAACAAAGTTTATTAGCATCATCGGCTGATATATAAGCAGAAAAGCATGAAATATCAGCAACCACTGTTGAACACAAAAGTCTACTGTGTTCTATGGAACTTGATTAGTAGGAAATATAAATCCAGTCCTGCAAAAGTTTTTTAACAGACATCAGCAAGTGCAGCTGATCCTGAAGACTTAAGTCCACTGTTATTAAGGACTGATACCCAAAATGGAAGAACTTAGAAGTGGTAATTTCACTTGGGAAGTAAGGAATAACTTAAAGTCACCTTGTTCCTTCTGTTCTGCAGTGAAGCCCCAAATTCTTTTACTGAGCTTTCTGTCCCTGAAAGAGCAACATGTGCAATTATGAACTACTCCACTGTGTTTGCTTAGCCTGTCCATCAAATTACTTATAAAGGTAACTGACATATTATTCTGGCAAATTACAATACCAGTAAAATCAGCGTAGTAAGGCTTAAGAATTACTTTGTTAAGCAAATAGGCTTAATTTCCTTTACAATTACAGTGGAACAAGAATATGCATATAAATAGCATAATGATAAACATTGTGATGCTGCACACCTCAAGTCATCTGGTGATAAACATAGGATTAAAATAAATAAATATATGCCTTGCCTGTAGGATTTCTTTAAAAAACTACTATTTTGCTTGACGAATACTTCTGTATATTTAACTGTAAGGGAAGATTCTGATTTCATACAGAAATTGTTATATAGAAGTACAGCATTGCCTCCTGTTACTGAACAAAGGGCTCACAAAATTTGTATATAATTCAGAAGTCAATACTACTGAAAATATGGCTGCAAATGATAGATAAGGACTTCAGTGAAATAAAAGAATGGAATAACCATAGCGATGTGCAATCCCAGCATATTTGGAGTCTGGTTAGTGTAGCTATGATTTGTGTCATATGAATTGCATAGATGATATTATTACATTTAAAATTACTTAGTGTTGTGGTTTATGTCCAAATACAAATTTTATTATGGATTCTGAAGTCCTAAAACAGATAAGCAGATTTACAAATACTGGTCTATAAAATACTGTTCAGAAACTGTCAAACTATCTGAAAAAAACTTATTTTTCAGTGCTCTTCATCTTTTCTTCTGTTCTCACTCCTGTAGTTCTTTATTAAAGCCTGTCTCTTTGAGCATTTCCTAGTTCGTATTCAACATCAGATATAACTTTGGCTAGGGGATTGCACTTCCACCATAACTACATGTTCTAATGCCCAAGGCTTTTAATGTAGCATATGAGGAAATCGATCACATCAAAAATATACCCATGAAAAGAGAAATGGAGCACAAGAATGCTCTGATACAACAAGCCTCCAGTAGGCTTAAACACTGTAAATGTGTTACATACCCAGTGTGAGACAGACAGTGATTACAGAAATGCATCCTGTAGTGTCGTTTGTCCATTATTTATCATTTTGGACCAAATTATACAGCCAAACTCAGTCTTTAGCACAAAATAATGTTTCTTATATCTGCAACGAAAATAATCCCAAAGATGTGCAGTAGTTACAGAGTCGCTTAGAGGACCATGTCCTGCACCTTGAAATAGGTGGGCTTTTTCCAGAATCATATGCACAGAACTGGACCGTACCTGACACGAAGTTGAACATCTGAAAATCCAACCTCCTTAAAATGGCATCAGTACCATGAACTATGTTTCTGTGACACACAGCAGCTGCTACAAGTTTCTGTCAGGTCTGTTTTCTCTAACATCAGCAAATTTTGATGATACTTTTTCCATCACTGATCCCTCTGAAATGCTCTGGAAGGATCAGAAGAAAGACATCAAGAATAAACTGCTCATAATTGCATTATGTAATTTGTGGAATAGTACCAAGCTAGCATCAGCAATACTGCTGGTCTCCTTTGAGAGTAAAAAGTAGTAATGAAGGCAGAGGATCTGAAGTTGCGCTGAATGACCATTAAGTCTGTGAAAAACTGAACTGCAGCTATTCTGATCTGAGTTTTCAGGCAGAAACTAGATGGTGCTAGTGTAAATTTTGACTCATATATCTTGACTTCATAAAACATTATTTTGTTTATTGGTACTAGCATTTTTCTTTTTTCCTTTTTTTTTTTTTTTGGCAAACTGACTAATTAATTTTTTTAATCTTTCTTAGCCTTATGTCATATTCTTTCTAAAATATTACTTCAATTTTACTCATTCATCAGTTTCACTTTGTATATTAAATTGTTCTCTGTCCTGCAAGTATATACTACTTTACTCTGTTAGCATGTTCAGGTGCTAACATAGTAGTAGATAGACTTTCACTGCCAGACCACAGCTACCTAGAGAGAGAACGTCCTTTAAGAAATCAGCACTGTGCTCACTACCATCAGTGATTATGAACACCCTAACACTGGTGCACGATACAGTAATAGGTTTAAAGGTTGCCACAGAATGATACTGAAATATTGTTCTTCAAGGTTGAAGGTCTACTGCTAGAAGTCGTTAACTAAAATATTGATTTAAATCTACTAGTAACCTTTCTCTGAGATAAGTTTTAAAAATGCCTTTGCAGATTCTTTTGCTGTTCATAGTCAAGATTAGATTGCTGTTGAACTATTTAAAGGTTAGTTAAATGCTTGTATCAAAAAGCACAATTTAAAGGTGACCTTAAAAGTCTGTTTAATAAATGGGAACTTACATCTTCATTGTATTTTTCATAAGGTTTTGTAGTAAAAAAGTTCATTGCAGATGTCTTTGATTTGATGCTCCATGTTGGATATATTAGCCGAGATGCATTCAGTTTACTGCAGTATTTTGTTCAGCTGTCAGTTTACCCTTAATTTGAGTTGTAGTAATAAGGTGTTCAGCGAAGAACAGTTTCTCTTTATTTCATCTCTGACTCCATAGAGATGCTAAGAATCATAGCATCTTGGAATAATTTGGGTTGGAAGGGACCTTAAAGCTCATCTTGTCCCAAAACCCCTGCCACGGGCAGAGACACCTTCCACCAGACGGGGTTGCTCCAAGCCCTGTCCAACCTGGGCTTGAACACTGCCAGGGATGTGGCAGCCACAGCTTCTCTGGGCAACCTGTGCCAGTGCCTCACCACCCTCACAGTGAAGAATTTTTCTCCTAGTATCTAATTTAAATCTACCCTCTTTCAGTTTAAAGCCATTCCCCCTCATCCTATCACTGCCAAGAAGTGATCAACTATTTGTACTGCATAACAACTGCCTCTGTAGGAGATAGTGTGGAAAACTCTGATTCATTAACATTATTATGTGATTTCTTTGTGAAATAGAATGACCTTGACTAGAACATTGGTTGTGCCTGAAAGGTTTTAGATAGGTATGATATTCAATTAGGGAAGGGCATCATGCGGAAGCTAACAGGACTTCCATACATGATCTAGAAAGACTGCTGTTTTCCCCTAATGCTTTGAAGTTACAAAGGCCCCAGTCAATTCTACAAGGTAATAAAAGCGGTTGTGAACTGCTGGGTGCTCTCAGTTTGAACTGTCTTCTCTGATGTCCAGTGTGTTCAGCACTTTGCAGCAGCAAGTAGTTAGTTCAATTTCATGTAATGTAAGTGTACTGCAATGTCTGTAAAGCCATGGGAGTAACCTGTTGTACAAGAAGAGACACCCAATGCCTTTGATTAGAGGGCAAGGTAAGAAAAGAATCACTGCCAAACTGTGCTGCAGTCTGATCAGGGGAAGAATCACGTTATCTGTTCATAATTCTGTAAGAAAACAAACACAACTCTTGACTTTGCTTGTAATTTCTGTATTTCCAGTAACAAAGAATACACAGAGAGTACCAAGGTTAATGAAGAGCACTTTCTGCACTCCTAATTTAAGAAGGAGGAATTTTCTGAGCCTAACAGATGAAGAGTAATAGTCAACTGGATTTATTCTAAGTGTCAGGATCTCTGAAAGGATTGATTGACTTGGCAAAAATGACTTGAAACATTCCACTCTGCTATCATCTGCTGTTGCTTGCTGAACTGTGAAGAACTCTGTATTCAGGCTGCTTTCTACTATATTGCCAATCACCTTTTATGGACTTGGAAGTGATATTTTTCTTATCAGCTCTCTAGTGGTTTTATTTGCATGCATTCTGTAACTATGCACAAGCAAAATCTATTGTCTGCTTTACCTATTTAAGAATAAGCACAGTGATTAATAAAATTAATTTAATTAGTTTTGATCCTTCAGTTCTAATCACCTAGGTCCACATTAATGGAAATTGGAATTGATGTCATACAAGGGTTAGGGTAAATCTCCACACATACTATATGAAATGAGTCTCTAAAGATACTTTCACTGCTGGTGAAAAGGAGGGAAAAAAAAGTTATTTATAAAAAGGCCTTATGTTGTGTATATATTGTCTTTGAAGTATTTTTGATTTTAGTTTATTTCTTGTAAAAGAGAAATTATATAATTTATTTAGCAAATACTACTGTAAACTATAGTTTTACTGATGAATAAAATATTTTGTTCTCAAAACTATCACAGTTGTCAACCTGTTCTTGATCTGTACAGGACTTACTGTTTGGTATTTCTCTAACTTTATGAGACAGTCTTGAGAGGTATCTCAAGAGGTACGAGAACCACCCTATAAAATGGCATCTCTTTTTATCTTTGTCTGCTACCAGCTCTATAATGAAGAGGGGAATCTTGGAATTAGAGCAGAAAAAGCAGCAGAACAGAATCAACAGGCATTGCTTCATAAAAGCATTTCAGGTTTTTCAGGTTTTTCAGTATGGGCAGTCATTTTAAGGTAACTTGAGAAACTGTTCTGGTTCCTTTATTTCCCTAGCAGCAGAGGTATGACCCCACACACCAGTGACCATCAATCAAAGGTTTCATGCTGTGATGTAGTGATATATTTAAAAACTACGTGGGTGTCACTTTGAAAGTTAATGAAAGCTATCGGTAATAGTATTTCTTCTAGGATTTAGGGTAGCAAACCTTCTGAATTGGCAAAACCAGAATTTGGCACTTCAATTCCTATAATTATGCTTTGTACCTCTGCAGAATTTTTCATTTAACATTTTGGTGTGGTTTGGGGTGTTTCTTTGATGTAATCCTATAACCCTGACAAGAGGAGGGTATTAATTCCTCAGTTAGGTACAGAACAGAGAAACAGAGAGTGTTGAGTCTTTTCTCAAGTATGTTGAGTTTCTGTCTTAACTTAGAATCATAGAATCATAGAATAATTAGGGTTGGAAAGGACCTTAAGATCATCTAGTTCCAACCCCCCTGCCATGGGCAGGGGCACCTCACACTAAATCACCCAAGGCTCTGTCCAGCCTGGTCTTGAACACTGCCAGGGATGGAGCATTCACAACCTCCCTGGGCAACCTATTCCAGTGCCTCACCACCCTCATAGGAAAGAATTTCATCCTTATATCCAATCTAAACTTCCCCTGTTTAAGTTTTAACCCGTTACCCCTTGTCCTGTCACTACAGTCTCTAATGAAGAGTCCCTCTCCAGCATCCCTATAGGCCCCCTTCAGATACTGGAAGGCTGCTATGAGGTCTCCAGGCAGGCTTCTCTTCTCCAGGCTGAACAGCCCCAACTTTCTCAGCCTGTCTTCATACGGGAGGTGCTCCAGTCCCCTGATCATCCTCGTGGCCCTTCTCTGGACTTGTTCCAACAGTTCCATGTCCTTTTTAGGTTGAGGACAGCAGAACTGCACACAATACTCCAGGTGAGGTCTCACAAGAGCAGAGTAGAGGGGCAGGATCACCTCCTTCGACCTGCTGGTCATGCTCCTCTTGATGCAGCCAGGATACAGTTGGATTTCTGGGCTGCAAGCGCACACTGAAGCTGGCTCATGTTCATTTTCTCATCAATCAACACCCCCAAGTCCTTCTCCACAGGGCTGCTCTGAATCTCTTCTCTGCCCAACCTGTAGCTGCGCCTGGGATTGCTCCGACCCAGGTGTAGGACCTTGCACTTGGCATGGTTAAACTTCATGAGGTTGGCATCAGCCCACCTCACAAGCATGTCAAGGTCCCTCTGGATGGCATTCCTTCCCTCCAGGGTATCAACCAAACCACACAGCTTGGTGTCATCAGCAAACTTGCTGAGGGCGCACTCAATCCCACTGTCCATGTCAGCAACAAAGATGTTGAACAAGACCGGTCCCAACACCGATCCCTGAGGGACGCCACTCGTTACTGGTCTCCATCTGAACATTGAGCCATTGACCACAACTCTTTGTGTGCGGCCATCCAGCCAGTTCTTTATCCGCCGAGGGGTCCATCCATCAAATTGATGTCTCTCCAATTTAGAGACAAGGATGTCATGTGGGACAGTGTCGAACACTTTACACAAGTGCTTGTGTCTTGTGGTTACCTCTTTTCCAGACTTGAAAGTAAGATCGCTTAATCTAAAAAGATAATTGTTCTGCAGCATTCCTCTTAGAAATTCAACAGACCAATCTGCATGCCCTGTAAGCAAACATTCTGTACATGCATGGAAGGACCAGATACTTCACATGAACAGATCATAGTATATGTAGAATGTGTCTCTATACAAGGTAGATATTTCTGATTAGTCTTATCTGGGGAAAACCATGAAAATTCTTAAACACCAGATTAACCATTAAGCACATACATGTCACTTTTGCCAATTACCTAGTGACTGTAGTGTTTGAATCATTTGACCTTAGGCAGTCCCCAGAACACACAATTTCACTGCAACTATTCTGCCAGATTCTGAGCCATCCTTTGTATACAATCCCTTTAACACATCCATTTATAAATTAAAACAGCCATTTAACACTTGAAAAAGGAAATCCTGTATAGGCTATGGAGCCTCCTGGGAAAACCTTCTCCAAAGCATGTGCACTTACAAGGGTTTTTTTGTTTGCTGTTTTCGTTATTTAGGATGGGTGGGTGGTTGGTTGTTTTTGTGTGTGTATGTGTGTGACCAAATGGTTCAACTGTGATGAAAGAGGGATTACAGCTAAGCAATGTTAACGATCAGTAACTGGGAACACATTTCTTTCTCTAATGCACAAAACAGTGTAAAGCTTCAAACATCAAGGAGTACAGGAGCTCATAAAGATGCTTATATTTCATGCTTAAGTATTCTGTTTCTCTTCATCTTGCATTGATATTCTGCATTGGCAACACTCTAATGAAAATTTAAAGACTTCTAAACATTCCTATATAGCTAAGGAGGCAGTGCATGTCAAATAAAAATAAAATACATACAGAAGATATAACCGAATCCCTGTGGTACTGAAGTAATGTATTGGTCTATTTCTCCAGGTCTAAACAGATGGAACTTACCACAGGCAGCAAACTTTAAAGAATTAGGTCACAGACATGGGCATTCTGTGTGCAGTGGTACCTGAATACTCTGGCCCTGCAAGCTGCTCAGAAAGATAAAAGCACAGGTTGCTGTCTGCTTGGAGAAAGGTAGAGAATAACTCCAAATTTGTAAATCTGACCTTATGAATTAATTATATGGCATTCAGAGGGAAGGTTTTGCCTTTCGTGGTAGCATGTAACAGTTGTCCTCAGTTCTAAAACATGAAAAAAAAAAAAACAATTTCAAGTCCTTGTACTAGAGTTTAATGGTTTGAAAATACTAACACCTATCCCAAGATCTGTTTTCTTGCTGACTGTGCTTATATTTCAGACAATTTAATTTCATATAACTCAGTGCTGTTTTCCCAAACTGTTAACACTAGAGAGTGATAAAAAAGTAATCAGTAGTGCATTCCACCTGTTCTTCGTAGAAGCTATTTGCTGACCCATTTGCAGTGGTGCATGCATCTGCATGCAACAAGAAAGTTACCAGCTCTTTCCAGACAGAAGGTGATGTCCTGGTCCAGGAGGACCCGAGTCGGGGAGATTTGCTGTTATAACCAGAGTGAGCTTAAGACACAAGAGGCCAAATGCTGCTAATCAAAGAAATTTATTGATTACTTGTCTAAACCAAGTATTTACTTACTGTGGTAAGAAAACAGCAATAGGAAAGGCAGAGAAATAGAAAAGAAGGAAATCTAGCAAACAGTTGGGATAAAGTTGCACCAGACAGTCATCACCACTGGTCTGGCAATGTCCCACTGGTCTGCAGCCTCCGTATACTTCAGTGATGAGGGTCCCACCAGCCGTTTGATAGCACAGTCCTTTCTAGAGTATTACTGCATTCCTGTGCACACCCAGCCCTGCCGTGGAGCTCATGCAATTACTGTGTGATCATTTACCGTGGACTGTACATGCCTTGGCAGGTTGAGGTAGTCACCCATGCTCAGGCACATCCCACAAAGCGACATGACCGTTCTTGACCTCAGTGGAAACTGGTTTCAGGTGGCTGTCCCTTATCTGTTCACAGCAGCTGAGCTCAGTTAAACCGTCAGCAAGTCTTGCAACAAGCTCACCAGGACTGCAAGCAGGCTTTGAGACAGTCACCTTAAGATACAGTCTCTCACAGGTGCGGGGCCTGACCCTGCAGCAATTTCGCATCTGGAACTGCTTTGCAGTTACTTTACACCAGACTAAAAGATACTGATACTGAAGTGTTGTGATATGAACAACTTTAACCTCAGGGACAAGGATCAAAATAAAATATTAATTTAACATATTTAATTATAACATCTATTAATACATTAAAATTGCTAATCCCCAAACTCAGACCCATTTGAAGTTGTGTGAATGATCCTCACTGGTAGTAACACCCTGAAAAGTTCATGAACTTGAACAATGTTAACAAGTTTTTAAATGATTTTGTAAGTGAGACTGGTAGTATCAGAGAAAATACCTAATCTATAGCAATTCATTGATCTGTTGTAAACTTAGAAACAAGAGATGCGCATTTCCTGTTTAGAGCTTCATACGACTTCGGATGATTAGAGAAAATTACTGTTTTTCCAGGAACTACCTGGATAATACCTGAAAATATCTTCTGACACTCTTTTTATAGGAATGGCAAGAGATGTAAAAAAGCACCAGCTTTTACTAGATCAAATGCTACATAAAATACCAGGCATTCCACCATTCTGCCTGCTGCTTTCCCCTCTCCCAGATATGAAAAGGGAACTGTTTCCTTTACTAATGTATTCTGCCATCTGATAAAAGTTATTTCTCCCTATAGGCCTTACCTCAATATGTAGGCTATTATAGTTGCACACACATAACTAGTTCCTTCCAGAAGTGATAGTGTGGACTGCTCATCAATGAATTAAAAGTGTCTTTTATCTGCTCAATGTATAAAAATCTTCCTTGCAAAATCAGCAAGAACACAGACTCCTACAAGGTCTGAGAGAAGATACTGGTGACAAAGAAATACAGAGGGCTCTGCTGGAAAAAGGCAAGACAGTGACTAAGCTAAATAATACGGTTTGGTACAGAAAACTCTTAACTACAACAGACCTCAAACTCTCAGCTGAAATTCGCACAACCAGCTTGAATTATCTGGGCTTCTGCCCTTGTGTAGCACAAAGTAATTTCACTTTAAAAAAATAATACAAATCTTGGTGAGAAACTTG